CAGATTTGAACAAAAAGATGTAAAGTTGATCATGCAAATGATTAGTAAAAATAATGAAAAGAGAAGTTGCTATAGTAGCAGTTATACATTTAATGCATGGACGGCTTATTTGTGGTTTTAAATTAATATGACTTTTAACTGTATTTTTGAAATTCAGATGTCTTAACACTAGATTTTTTTTGGGTTCAGATGCTTTGACATTTGAGTTATTTGGATTAGATTCAGGTGTCTTCACACTATGTTTCGTGATTAAAATGCCTTCACACTAGAGTTTAAAGTTTCAAGTGCCTTTTCATTTAATTTTTGAGGTTCAGGGGTCTTCACACTAGAGTTTTGAGGTTCATGTGCCTTCACGCTAGAGTTTAAAGGTTCAAGTGCCTTCACATTTAATTTTGGAGGTTCAGGCGTCTTCACACAAGAGTTTTAAGGTTCTTATGCCTTCACACTAGAGTATAAAGGTTCAAGTGCCTTCACATTTAATTTTGGAGGTTCAGGCGTCTTCACACAAGAGTTTTGAGGTTCATGTGCCTTTACACTAGAGTTTAAAGGTTCAAGTGCCTTCGCATTTAATTTTGAAGGTTCACACAAGAGTTTGAAGGTTCTTGTGCCTTCACATTTGATTTTGGAGGTTCAGGCGTCTTTATACTTGAGTTTTGAGGTTCTTGTGCCTTCACACTAGAGTTTAAAGGTTCAAGTGCCTTCACATTTAATTTTAGAGGTTCAGGCGTCTTCACACAAGAGTTTTGAGGTTCATGTGCCTTCACACTAGAGTTTAAAGGTTCAAGTGCCTTCGCATTTAATTTTGAAGGTTCAGGCGTCTTCACACAAGAGTTTGAATGTTCTTGTGCCTTCACACTAGAGTTTAAAGGTTCAAGTGCCTTCACATTTAATTTTGAAGGTTCAGGCGTCTTCACACAAGAGTTTTGATGTTCATGTGCCTTCACACTAGAGTTTAAAGGTTAAAGTGCCTTTACATTTAATTTTGGAGGTTCAAGCGTCTTCATACTTGAGTTTTGAGGTTCTTGTGCCTTCACACTAGAGTTTAAAGGTTCAAGTGCCTTCACATTTAGTTTTAGAGGTTCAGGTGTCTTCGCACTTTGTTTCCATTATTAAAATGCCTTTACATTAGAGTTTAAAGGTTAAAGTGCCTTTACATTTAATTTTGGAGGTTTAGCCGTCTTCACACTAGAGTTTTGAGGTTCATGTGTCTTCACACTAAACCATACAGCTTTAAAACTCAAAAAATCATAAAATCTTCACCTCATTCCATAAAAAAAGACGAACGAGACACAACAAAAGTAAAATAAAAAGTTTTTTTAAATATTTTTTTCAGTTCCATTTTAAAAGGGAAAAGAAAGTGAAATTTTAAAAAAGTATTAAAAAATCATACAGCATGGCATGTTAAAGGTAGAAAACAAAAGTCGAGCATGCTATAAGCTTGCAGTATATCTGTGTATGTATGTATGGAGAGCAAATACACAGCATTGACCCACTTTAAGTTCGTTTGCTTCTCGACCGCATTTTTTTCTCTTTATATTATTTTTCGTCTTCTGTGATCGCAATCTAATCGGCAATGACTCGATGTGCTATGGCACTAAGTAAGCTATGGGGAACTGAAAAAATATTTCATTTGATTGTATTTAAAATTTTCTAAATAAGTCGCTGCTGTAGCCAGTAAATTTAACTCTCAACTATTGTGAATGACTTCGCTCACTTTCGATGTCATTGACCTAAAAAAATGAAAATGTTTGAGATTTTCTACTCAATTTTTTATGGGCTTTTTGTGATTTATGATAGAAATGTGTTGGAATTGATACTTTTTAAATAGACTGGATCACTTGAGAGTTCATTAGGTCGGTAAAATCTACAAGAATATAAATTGTATCTTGTTAACTTTCAAAACATTATATTTTTTGATCCAAGAGGTTGAAACCTTGCTGAAGAGATTAAAATTTGATCCATTTCTGTTTTGAGGATGCTAGTCTGGCTACTGCTGACCTTTTATTATGAGAAGTGACCTCCTATTTTAAAGTTCAATATTCAATAGCAGTTAAGCAAAGTAAAATGACTTAAAAGTGGATACACGCTTGTCCTTTTAATTATACAAGGTTTAGATAGCTCCAAAATGTATTCAGTTGCTTTACACTAAAAACAAGTGTCTTCTAACTAGATTCAAAAATTTCAATGGTCTTCACTCCAGCTTCAAAATATGTGCAAATGCCTTTACAATCCTTTACCAAATTCAGTTAACTTCACATTAGCTCCAAAAAATTTAGGGTGCCTTCACACCAGGGCCAAAACATTCAGGTGCCTTCAAACTAGCTTCAATAATTCAAGTGCCTTTACACTAGTTTCAAATAATTCAGTTATCTTCAGACTGGTTTCAAAAAATTCAGGTGAATTCACACTAGCTTTTCAAAATTCAGGTGCCTTTACACTAGTTTTACAAAATTCAGGTGTCCTCAAACTAGTTTCAAAAAAATCAGGTGCCTTCACACCAGCTTCAATAATTCAGGTGCCTTTACACTAGTTTTACAAAATTCAGGTGTCCTCAAACTAGTTTCAAAAAAATCAGGTGCCTTCACACCAGCTTCAATAATTCAGGTGCCTTTACACTAGTTTTACAAAATTCAGGTGTCCTCAAACTAGTTTCAAAAAAATCAGGTGCCTTCACACCAGCTTCAATATTTCAGGTGCCTTTACACTAGTTTTACAAAATTCAGGTGTCTTTAAACTAGTTTCAAAAAAATCAGGTGCCTTCACACCAGCTTCAATAATTCAGGTGCCTTTACACTAGTTTTACAAAATTCAGGTGTCCTCAAACTAGTTTCAAAAAAATCAGGTGCCTTCACACCAGCTTCAATAATTCAGGTGCCTTTACACTAGTTTTACAAAATTCAGGTGTCCTCAAACTAGTTTCAAAAAAATCAGGTGCCTTCACACCAGCTTCAATATTTCAGGTGCCTTTACACTAGTTTTACAAAATTCAGGTGTCCTCAAACTAGTTTCAAAAAAATCAGGTGCCTTCACACCAGCTTCAATATTTCAGGTGCCTTTACACTAGTTTTACAAAATTCAGGTGTCTTTAAACTAGTTTCAAAAAAATCAGGTGCCTTCACACCAGCTTCAATATTTCAGGTGCCTTTACACTAGTTTTACAAAATTCAGGTGACCTTAAACTAGTTTCAAAAAAATCAGGTGCCTTCACACCAGCTTCAATATTTCAGGTGCCTTTACACTAGTTTTACAAAATTCAGGTGTCCTCAAACTAGTTTCAAAAAAATCAGGTGCCTTCACACCAGCTTCAATATTTCAGGTGCCTTTACACTAGTTTTACAAAATTCAGGTGACCTTAAACTAGTTTCAAAAAAATCAGGTGCCTTCACACCAGCTTCAATAATTCAGGTGCCTTTACACTAGTTTTACAAAATTCAGGTGTCCTCAAACTGGTTTCAAAAAAATCAGGTGCCTTCACACCAGCTTCAATAATTCAGGTGCCTTTACACTAGTTTTACAAAATTCAGGTGTCCTCAAACTAGTTTCAAACAAAATAAGGTGCCTTCACACCAGCTTCAATAATTCAGGTGCCTTTACACTAGTTTTACAAAATTCAGGTGTCCTCAAACTGGTTTCAAAAAAATCAGGTGCCTTCACACCAGCTTCAATATTTCAGGTGCCTTTACACTAGTTTTACAAAATTCAGGTGTCCTCAAACTAGTTTCAAAAAAATCAGGTGCCTTCACACCAGCTTCAATATTTCAGGTGCCTTTACACTAGTTTTACAAAATTCAGGTGTCTTTAAACTAGTTTCAAAAAAATCAGGTGCCTTCACACCAGCTTCAATATTTCAGGTGCCTTTACACTAGTTTTACAAAATTCAGGTGACCTTAAACTAGTTTCAAAAAAATCAGGTGCCTTCACACCAGCTTCAATATTTCAGGTGCCTTTACACTAGTTTTACAAAATTCAGGTGTCCTCAAACTAGTTTCAAAAAAATCAGGTGCCTTCACACCAGCTTCAATATTTCAGGTGCCTTTACACTAGTTTTACAAAATTCAGGTGACCTTAAACTAGTTTCAAAAAAATCAGGTGCCTTCACACCAGCTTCAATAATTCAGGTGCCTTTACACTAGTTTTACAAAATTCAGGTGTCCTCAAACTGGTTTCAAAAAAATCAGGTGCCTTCACACCAGCTTCAATAATTCAGGTGCCTTTACACTAGTTTTACAAAATTCAGGTGTCCTCAAACTAGTTTCAAACAAAATAAGGTGCCTTCACACCAGCTTCAATAATTCAGGTGCCTTTACACTAGTTTTACAAAATTCAGGTGTCCTCAAACTGGTTTCAAAAAAATCAGGTGCCTTCACACCAGCTTCAATATTTCAGGTGCCTTTACACTAGTTTTACAAAATTCAGGTGTCCTCAAACTAGTTTCAAAAAATTCAGGTGCTTTCACACCAGCTTTAATAATTCAGATTTTTAACAAAGTTTAGATGCCTTCACTTTAGCTTCAATATATCTCCCAAAAAAAAAAAAAACAAAATAAAATCCCCAAATGCCGATAATAATTCAAATAATCACTACAACTGTCACTTATGACCAACAATAAAAGCCTTACACACGAAATCCGGAATAGAAAAAGAAATGATTACATTAGACGGAGTTCATTGAACGAAAATTGGATCAAAAGTTAATGTTTGAATCTCTTTTAGTGTTCGTATTAACATTTTTACTTTCACTTAACCTCGTTTTGATGCTTTATATTTTGGCAAATGAGGCAGTTGCTATGCGTTTATTTTTTCGTGATTGGTTAGGAATACTTTAATGGCTTCTTCATGACCTTAATCTTGAAAATTTAAGAAATTGAATTAAAAATTTACAAATAAAGTTTTTTTTAATTAGGAAAAATTTATTGGATTTAAAAAAAAACATTTGATTATTTATAAATGATTATTTTTAGAAATTTTTGATCTTAAAAATTGGTAAGAAAATCGAAAAATTTACTTTGTAAATACAATTTTATATTCTTTCATGATTTCTTGCACCCATGCAGCTACTTCTGAATCATTTGATTGATTTTCCAATGCTAATTGATGTAAGTTTTTGCCTTGATATCCTTTTCTGTTCAAATATTCAGTTTGAAGTTCTTTTGTGACTTTTAAATATTTAATTTGGTTCCAAGAGAATTCAACAATTTCTTTTGTATTGCAATTAACAGCACAGCAGAGAAGATTGTCACCATCTTTGTCACAATGTTCGACCAATTCCAAAATCTCTTCGGCATCAAAATATTTGCAAATTATTGTCCAAATTTTTTGATTTGTTTTAAGACTTTTGTTGTAAATTGCGGCGGACTGAAGTAAATTTTTATTTACTAATCCAAATGATTTTAAAACTTTTTTTGTTTCTTTGTCATTTTTAAGCTTTTCCAACTCCGAAATCATGAATTCAAACTCTTCACTTGTTGTAAATGCTGCAGCAAGATTAAAAACATTGTTTTCATCCTCATCAACTTCTTTAAGTATTTCCAAGAATTCGTCATCAGACTTGCAAGAATCTCGAAGTTCTTTCCACAAGATTTGATGTGTTTTGACTTCTTTTGAGTTTACTGCAGCACGTTGAAGCAAGTTTCTTCCAAATTGTCCTTTTGATTTAAGAATTTTTTGATAATCTTACTTGCTGAGGCTTTTTTTAAGCTTATTTATTGTGAAATCAATTACATTTGATTTATTGTAAATCACAAGAAGATGAACAAAGTTGTTGCCATTTTGGTTTATCTTAAACATCAATTTCTTCAATTCCGCACAACTTCTTGTGATGTTTTCTTCTAAATGCTTCCACAAAATTTCATGATTTTTAACATTTTCATCATTTATGAATAAATTTAAGTCTTTCAGGGATTTAATTAATTTCTTGTTCTGCATGAGCAGCTGAATGCTGTCTTCAAACAATTTAACTTGATTTGTGCTTGCAATCCAGTCCAATTTAAGGATTTTTACTTCCAAATCTGTTAAGTCTTCAATTTTTTTTTTCTTTTTTTATTATTTCGTCAACTCCAAAGTAAGATTGAGCATTTTGCAGCACTGCTTTACATGTCCTTCGATGTTATTATTGTATTGGTTTGTTAATTTAATGACGAATTTTAGGTCAAAATTGATTGAAAATTCTTCAAAATCGTTTGGATCAGGCTCTGCTGAATTGTTCTCAGACATGTTATTTAAGGTGGTTTGGAGTTCCTCTCGGGCTGTCGTTGATCTAAAATGTTTTAAAAAGTATTAAAAAAATGGCCAAAATAATTAATTTTAATATTTTTTACCATTCAAGTTTTGACTTAAGGATGCGAATTATTGAGTATATCCTTGAAATCACACAGAATACACAGCACAACAGTCAATTTCTCTTCTCAAGCTCTCTCAATATTTCATATAACAATGACTGAAAAGAGAGTGAAATAAATAACAAATAGTTATACTTCGTGTTATAGCTTTAAAGGCTTGTTATAGAAACATTTGAAATTCAAGTGATCGTTAAAGTAATATTTTTAGCCATGATGTTCTCAACCTTTGTGCTACGATATAAAAATTCATATTTTTAATAATTTGTAGGAATTCATCATAAATCAAGGTGAGAACAACTGTCAGGAAAATAAAAAAAAATTGATGTTAATTTATGGAAAATTTTCATTAAATTCTGCTGACAGTCGTTGTCTTCCTGCTTAAAAATAATCTTAATAGAATCTGGACCAAAAGTTAAAAAAGGTTGAGAACTTCTGCAGTTCTGACTCATCAATATTATTTTGCAATTTAAAATTTGTTATTTTAATGTTTAAATTACCTTATTTTAAGATATATTTCACTTCTCTATCTTACTTGTGATCCACAAAACTTTAGATAACTTTGAAAAGCCTTTAAAATTTTCAAATGTTTCATTAATTTTCATAATGTCTTTTAAAATCACATTTTATGCTTACAAATGGAAATAAAACGATGAAAAACAATCAACTGACGTTAAAGATTAAATTTTAAACCAAACTTAATGATTTATTGGCACAGAAAATTAGAAAAACTAAAATAAATCAACAGCAAATGACAAATTGCAGGTTAGCCTTTCGGAATCAGAACTGATAATGAAATTGAGAATGAAAAGAGGAAAACAGATCAGGCAAAAGTGAGAGTCGGAGAGTAAAATTCTCTCAGAGAGAGTCAAACTTTTTTGCAATTGGATCTTTTCTCTCATTGTTAAGCTTTAAAAAGAGTATTGACTTCTTGTTGAACTTCCACAGGACATCTCATCCGTTCTTCGATACTTTCGCCTTTATGTGTCTTCCCAATATTTTAATTCCAAGCTATTCCAATCACAATTCCCGCAATAAAGACTGCAAAAAAGACATTTGCAATAATAAATCAAAATTTCAAGCTATCCATGGACGGTGCAGACAGGTTTTTGCTATGGTCATCTTCTGGACTGTGACGAAATCTAGAAACTCAGAGGCAAATGAAATAAATAAGACGAAGGAAGAAGTTGAAGAAGAAATTGAACATTTTATTAAATTATTAATTTATGCTGTTGATAAAAATTGTTGGATGTTAAGTTTTTGATTGTCGTGGATTAAGGTTCTCATTTAATTACGATTTGGATGGCAACTAAGCTTTTTTGAGTTGACGCTTACATGTTCATCCCTCTTTTTCGTGCCAGACCATTTGACATGTCTATTCCAGAGCTGGTCAACCTATGTGCCGCGGCACAATAGTGAAGTTTTTTGGAAATCTCACGATCCGTATGCTGTGTCCAGTTTTGGTAATGACTTAACATCAAGTGTACCGTGGCACAATAATGGTTGGACACCAATGATGGTTGTGTGGCTGGTTGTGTGAGGTGAATTTTTTTTCAAAGAAGTTTTGTGACAGACGGGCTTAAAAATTATATTTTGCAAAGGATTGGGAAGGGTTTGACCCTAACTGCGCTCTCGTACTGCCTCACAAGAATCAAATGACTGCACACGCACAAACGATTTAATATTTACAATCTACATTAGACATCTTAGAACACAAGCTAAAGTAGTTTAGAGACACAACAGTGCATTAACCAATAAAGTTGTTTGAAATGAACACGCTTAAGTTTTTGAAAATTTCTTTAATTTCTTTAGCAATTTGTGAAAGAACTTTGCAGCCTGTAACCAACAATTTAGAAATCTTATCAATTACAAATGCAGTCAATGATTTAACTGACGAGTTTTACATCAAGCATGAAATTCGATTTAATGTTTTTATTCGGGAAGATTCTGGAAACTTAATTGAGGATGCGCTTCTAGTTGGAATTAAGGAATGAAATTCATACTTTTTAGCATCAATTTGACTTGATTTTGGGTTTTACTTTGTTTTAACTGGATCAGCAGTTATTCTCGTTTCATCATGTTTCGATTACTCTTTGGTCCACAAATCTACAACTCTTTTTAATATTTTTCCAAAAAATCTGAAATTTTTAATTTTCATCCAAAATTGTAAATTTGACTTTTTGAAAGAAAACTTGGAATTTTTCATTAAAACCGAAACGTTGACATTCAGTGGTGGAATATTAGAGATCTTCGAGTTTTTGCTCATCAATGACCAAGACATCCTTTATCTTGCAACAGTCGAGTGGTTCACAGAGTCAGCATGCAACCAGCCACAACTTGTAGTCCTCAATTCATTCAATAAACGCACTCAAAAGTGGACAAGAAAATTGGAAAATTATGAAAAATTCCAAAACTTTCATGGCTGTTCACTGACTTTGGGGATTGAAAAAGATCTACAAGAAGGAGCATGCTGGGGAACTTTAATATCATCAAATAAAGTCAACAGAAATGTCCAACTCAAAGGTGTTGCACCAACTATTTTTGAAATTTTATCCACTAAGATGAACTTCAGTCCATCATTTACTGTTATTGGAATCAATAATTCTATGTGCAACGTTTACATTCCTGTCCTAAGATACAGTCCCAAGGATATTGGTGCTGTACATGTAACAACAACATTTGCACAAGCTCATGACATCATTGCAGCTTCACCCGGCGCACCTTATACATCCTATGAGAAGCTTTGGCTACCTTTTGATGACACAACATGGAAATTACTTCTATCAACATTTCTGATAAGCTTCTTGATTATTTTCATAATCAATCGGATGCCAAAAGATATTCAAAATGTATTTTATGGTGAAAAGATTCAAACTCCGTCACTGAATGTCATTAGCACATTTTTTGGTATCTCATTAAACATCCTTCCATACAGGCACACACCTCGCATCATTTTAATTTGTTTTGTGTTCTTTTGCTTAGTTTTTCGGACTTGCTATCAAAGTAAGCTTTATGAGTTCATGACAAGTGATCCAAGACATCCATCACCTAAGTCATTAAAGGATTTAAAGGATAATAACTTTACCCTTTACACGTATTTTAATAAAACTTACCTTGAAGAATTAATAATGGAAGAAATGAGTCAATGGTAAGTTGATAGGTTGCCACACTGACCGACCGAAGTTAAGCTTTTAATTCTTTCAGGCCAACAGTAAAGCAAATTAGTGTACATGAGTTTAGTCGCTTACTTGACACACAACACCAAAATGCATCTGCAAAAATTGCACTTCATGTTGACATAGGAACAATTCAGTTTAAAGACAACAAACCTCAAAAATACATTTTATGGCATAAAATTCCAGATTATTCATTACAAGTTGTTCATGCTGGATTCGTTCTTAAGCCAAACAACTTCTTTTTTGAGGTTTTAGACAAAACTGTTCAGAAATTAATATCAGCTGGATTAATTGATAAGATTATCAAAAATTGCGATGGACGTGATTTTGAAGCAGATGAAGAGGAGGCGCAGATATTTTCATTAGACAACTTGAGCTTTGGATTTGTAATTTGTTTGGGATGCATTGGGATATGCTTCATAGTTTTTATACTTGAAATTATTTTCTCAAAGATTAAATACAGACATGCTTCAAATTTGGATACAGTCCCTAAAGTCGTTGAATTAAACGAAGATGTTGAAGGAGATATTAAAGATTTGGTCAAAATATTGATTCAAACTGTTGAACTTTCGAGGACGAAAAGCTCTGATTACGATAACTAGAAGAAGCAGTAGCAGTAGCTGTACATGTCGTCAATGTGGTCATCTCTACTTGACGTAATCTCGTGAGCCATACGCGAATCCTTGTCATACCTAAAATATACTTTGCTTGGATATTGCGGAAATTGCATGTTTGACTTTATTGCTGAATTTGAATTTTGGTGAATTTGAGTAAACTAAAGCAGTAAAATCTCCAAAAAAGCTAATAAAATACGCGAAAAATCATCTAGCTGACGTAAAAGTCGGAATAATTGTCATTTTTTTGTAATTCGTTTGATTTATTTTGTTTAAAAAAGTCAAAAAGTTGAAACCATCGACCTTAAATTCTTTTAATGTTACAAATAAATAAAAATTGAGAATCTTGTGATTTCAGATCAACAAAATCATCAAAAACTATTAGAAAATCATTCAGATCAACAAAATCATCAAAAACTATTAGAAAATCATTCATTAACAAAAAATTGGGTTTAAAACAGTGCGGATAAATGCACACTTTTTGAGAAAATATTCAAATAACAATCAAAAAGTTAATAACGTTCATAAAATTATTATTGATTGTATTCACAGTTAAATTTTACTTACACTTCAGAAAGTAGAACAAAGATTTTTAATTAATAGCCAGATTAACCTTTCATGCTGTACGCTTTTCAGGCTGTGCTGTTTCTAAACTGTACATTTTGCAGGCTGTGCGTTTTTAAAACTGTAAGTTTTTGAGGCTTCAAATTTTCCAAACTGTGCGTTTTACTCGCCGTGCGTTATTCAAGCTGTGCGTTTTACTCGCCGTGCGTTATTCAAGCTGTGCGTTATTCAAGCTGTGCATTATCCAAGCAGCGCCTTTTATTTGCAGGCGTGTACAAGCTGTGCGTTATCCAATCTGCACGTTATTGAAGCTGTGCGTTTTACTCGCTTTCAAGTTAAAGCTTTGCGTTTTTCAAGCTGTGCGTTATTCAAGCTGTGCGTTTTCCAAACTGTGCGTTATTTAAGCTGTGCATTATTCAAGCTGGGCGTTATTTAAGCTGTGCATTATTCAAGCTGTGCATCATCGAAGCTGTGCGTTTTAATATCAGGCGTGTACAAGCTGTGCGTTATTGAAGCTGTGCGTTTTCCAAGCTGTGCGTTATTCAAGCTGTGCTTTTTACTAGCTGATGTGACAGGCTGTGCGTTTTTTTAAGTTTTGATTTCATATTCATTTAAAATGTGAAAAACCCTTTTATCTTTGCCCCAACCTATGTCGCATCCCTTTCCATTGGAAATTTTTTTTAAATTAAAAAATTCAAACAATAATTTTTAAATATCATCAACATTTATTATTTAATTTAATTTATTTAACAAAATTGTTAATTCTGATAGGATAAACCAAAATAAACTTGTTCCATTCGCATCTGACATATTTCATAAATCGTCTTTTAGTCTTCATCACAACAATCCAGATCAATACTTCACACACAAAAGCAGCAACAGTTGCAGCACAAGACCAAAGCCAAATAACAAATCCAAACTGTAAGTTGTCCATAGTCAGAACATTCCATTTCTTTTTAGACACAAATACATGTTTAACATTGAAAACTAACTCAACCAAATGATTCATAATTCCAGCAGACGTCAGCAATTGTGTCTCTGTATCGATTATTGGTAAAAAAAAGTTATTAGCAAAAAAGAAAAATCCAATTTGATTGACTTGAAAATTGATGTTTTTTAACTGATGCCATTTAAAAGATTTACGTCGTCTAGACTCTACATAGTCTAATGAGTTTGACTCAATTGTCAACGATAACTTTGCTGATGCATTTTGAGATTGCGTATGTAATAAGAACTCCATTACCTCATTTGTTGTTTGACTAATTTTAGGCCTTTAAATTATTATAAAATTTACATTTTTAAGTTTTAAATATTTGCATTATTGAGAACTTAATACTCACCATTTATTGTCATCATCCTGAAGCAGTTTTGTTACATAGTCCAAATCTAAGGTTGTGTACATTGTATAATTCCTATCTCTTAATTCCTTAACACTAATCGGTGGTGGACGTCTTGGTTCACTTGTCATGAACTCAAACAATTTACTTTGATAACAAGTTCGAAATATTAAGCAGAAGAACACAAAGATAATGAGGAGGCACCTTGCGAAGTATTTTTTCGGGACTTTGTATTGTGCGAGGCCAAAAAATGCACTGATGACATTTAGTCCTGGTTTGTGGATATTTAAACCATAAATTCTGTCTTGAACGTGATTTGGAAGTTGATTGACAATAAAAATTACCAAAAAAGCCACAAAAAACACAAAAATCAGGAACTTCCAAGTAAGATCATCAAAAGGTAGCCAAAGTTTCTCAAACGGCCTGTACAACTCCCCTGGTGTCGTTAAAATCACATCATGAACTTGCATAAAAGACGCTGTAAAATGCAGCAAGATTTCAAATTCAGAACAAAGTCGAAAAATACTAAAACAAACTTCAGCTTCATCGGATTCAAAATTTAGAAATTTCGGCATAAAATTGTATTTTTGTGAAATGTCCATAAAGACTTTAGGAATCACTCCAATCACTTCACTGATTCGATTATTTTTATCAACAATTACGCTTTCAAATAAGGATTCTTCATTGTCTGGTGCAATCCACAATGTTAAATTGCAGCCATGAAAATTTTGGAATTTTTCGTAATTTTCTAACTTTTTGGACCATTTTTTTGCTGTTTTGTTGAATGTATTGATGATTATTAGTTGTGGCTGATTGCATGCTGACTCAGTAAACCACTCGATGGACGCCAGTTGGAGATTGTCACCGTCATTAATAAGAAGAAACTCGAATTGTTCTATAGAACCTCTTCTAAATGTTATCCGCTTGTTTTTGATGAGTTGTTCAATATTATTTTGCATCAAGTCTAAATCACAACTTTCAATGTAGATTAAAAACTTTGAGGATTTTGCGAATGGATTTCCAAACTGGAAATTTGTGCTGATGAAAGTGAAGTTTTCGCAGGATTCAGCCAATATAATAGATGAATAAACGATTCCAAACAATCCGACCAAATATTCCGTAATTGAACTTAATCGATACGAGTTGTTGACTTCATTAGAAGCTAATAAATAATTAATTAACTGATTGAAGTGTTTAGGATCACTTTGAATCGAAATGACGTCAAATTGAATCTCATTTCTGATGTAAAACACTTCTGACACTTCTTTAATAGCTCTTGAAATTGACTGGATTTCTGAATTTTCAACTGAAGCAATCGCAAAATGAGCATAGAAAGCCCAAAGTGATAAATAAATCAGTAGATTCATGACGGACAATTCATATTGATTTACTATTTAAATTTTATGTCTGTAAGTTGCTTCTAACTTCGATGACAGTCGTTTGCCAAATGAAAATTGATTTTGGTTTAATTTGAGCTATTAAAAATTACAAGATTTTATTTACAAACAGTTTGAAGCTAACATACTGACGTGTTCATGTCGCTTTACCTTCGTTTTTTTGTTGTCTTCTTGTCAAACTTTGAAATGCAAATGGTTACGTGCTGACTCAATAAAACACTCAATAGCTCATTGATCAATTGTCATTGATAAGCAAGAACTTAAAAATCTCCATTGATCATTACATAAAAGATATATGTCGATTCTCAACGACATATTTCATTCAATATTTGATTTTCCCAAATGATTTGCTTGCAGTCTTGTCTGTTTTCTTTTCTGTTGCAACTTTAAAAGCTGTTTTCAACCACAATTCGTGTTTTCGAATCAACAAATCTTGTTCGTTTTTATCTTCACGTTCAACATTTTTATTTCGATCCTGAATTGGATAAACTTTTGAGTGTTTATTGCAGTTATATCTTGAAACTGTAAATAAGGATCTTTTAATTTTCCACTTTAATATCCAGAAAAATGATTCGATTAGGAAAACTATGACAGTTCCTGCACATGAACATAACCAAATTACAAACCCAAAACGCAATTTTTCAAGCGTCAAAATTTTCCACTTTTCTTTCGACTCATAAACGTGTTTTCCTCTTGTCAGTTCTACAATTAGATAATCAATTATTCCAGCAGCCGTAAGTCTTTGTGTCTCTTTGTCAATTATTTGTAGAAAGTAGTTGTTATTAAAAAAGAAAAAGCTTATTTGATTGACTTGAAAGTTGACATTTTTGAGTTGATGCCATTTTAAGAATAATCCATTGATAGACTGAAAATAGTTGTAAGTATTTGATTGAATAATTATTGATATCTTAGCTGATGCGTTGTGCGATTGGGTTGTGAGTTTATATCTAAGTTCATGGTAGGATGACTGCTTTATTAATGGCCTGAAAATAGAAATAGAAAAAAAAAAATAGAATAAATATTTATAAAAATTATATTAGGTTTTTGCACAGCGTTTTATGGCTGAGTTTACTTTAAGGCTGAGCGTTTTTCAGGCTGAGCACTTCCAAGGCTACGCGTTTTTAGAGCTAAGCGTCTTTTTACGGTTGAGTTTTTTTAAGGGTGAGGTTTTTTAAGAATGACCGTTTCACAAATTAGGAATTTTGAAGGCTTGGCGTGAAAGTTTTTACTTAAAAATTTACAAACCATTCATTTTTATCATCACGAGTCAATTCATAAATATCCTTAGGCTTAAGAGTGGTATACAATGTGAAGTTCCTATCTGTCAATTCCCTAACACTTCTCGGTGGTGGACGTCTCGGCTCAGTTGTCATGAACTCGTACATTTTACTTTGATAGCAGGTCCGAAAGATTAAACAAAAGAACACAAAGATGATGAGAAGGCAACGTGGAAAACTTTTCTTCGGAACTTTATGCTGCGCGATACCAAAAAACGCACTGATGACATTTAGTGCTGGTTTTTGGATGTTCACACCGTAAATTTCATCCTGGACTAGTTTTGAAGACTGATTAATGACAAATATAGCAATAAAAGCTACAAAAAACACAACAATCAGGAACTTCCATGTGAGATCATCAAATGGCAGCCACAGCTTCTCATAAGGCGTGTACAGCTCACCCGGTGTGGCTAGAATGATGTCTTGAATTTCCATAAATGGAGCAGTGAAGTGCATATCATCCAAACCAGAACTAGGCCGATAAACTGAAAAACAGACGTCAGCTAAGCGACCTGCTTCCTCCTCGAACATTTGAAATTTTGGAACAAAATTGTACTTTTGTGACAGATCAATAAATATTTGTGGAATCAGTCCAACTACGCGTCCTTTATGATTGTCTTTTTCCATTATTATGTCTGCAAAAAGAGACGGTTTTATGTCTGGAGCCACCCACAATGTCAAGTTGCAGCCATGAAAGTCTTGAAATTTTTCATAAATCTTCAATTTTTTCGACCATTTTTGTGTCAATTTGTTGAATGTGTTGAGGATGACAAGTTGTGGATGATTGCATGCTGATTCTGTGAACCATTCAATTGTTGTAAGCTTTAGATAGTGGCCGTCGTTTATGAGCAGGAACTCGTAGTTCTCAATCAATCCTTTTTTAAATGTCAGCTGCTTCTTAACTACGAGATACTCGATGTAATTTTGAAGGTTGTTTAGCTTGCAATTTTGAATATAAATCAAAAATCTGAAACTTTTTGTAAACTGATTCGCTAAGAAAATTTTAGAATTGATGAAATTCAAGTCTGCACATGATGATGCGAGGATAACAGCTGAGTTAGTAGTAACAAAGATTCCATTAAGCTTGTTAGGAATTGAACTAAGTCGATGAGTCAATGTGCCGTAATTTTTAATCAAGAAATCTAGCTCAAATTGATTCTTTATTCGGTCGTTAATTACAACAATGTCGAACTGGATCTCATTTTTAATGTAAAATTCTTGAACGACTTCCTTTAAACCATTTGAAAATGAATAAAATTCTTGACTTTTAGTCACTGGTAATTTAAAAATATTTTCACAAAATGCCTTAGAAAGTGTCAAAAGAAACAAAGTTTGGAAAAGTTTCATTGTTGAGGTTACTTTAATGACTAGCTTAAGCCTACCTTTTATCAAACGTAAAATAACTCAAGAATGTCAAGGAATATTTCAACATGTTCAAGTTGTTGTCAATTTTATCGTTGACAAGATTTTTGTCACATTTTTCCATCAGAAGAAATCCATTTTTAAGGTTCATTTTGTTTGGCTGGATAGCAAGATAATAAATATGTAAAAAAAATGCACGTAAAGCCTTGTTGGATATTAAAAGGTAATTTTTGAATAGGAGTCATAAATTATTGATAGTTAATTAAATGTTCTTTTATTTGATTTAGATTATTTGAAACACAGGATTGAAAAAATGTTAAAAAAAACTTTTTAAAAAACACGCTTTTATCAAAAAGATTAAAAACCAAAAACTTGAAAATAAAATAAGATCACACTTTTAGCGAATCAGGATTTTAAAAGTTTTCTTGTTACATCTAGAAATGTAACAAAAATTTTTTCAAAATATTGTGATTAAGTCCAAGAACACAATGACTCGAAAAGCGTGGGGCTTTGAGATTTGACGCTTCTCTTACTTCAGAACTTAGTTGAACTAAGAAATTCTTCCTTAAATTACGCCCCACGCTTTTCGAGTCATTGTGTTCTTTGACTTAATCACAATATTTTGAAAAATTTGTGTTACATTTCTAGTTGTCACAAGAAATTTTTTAAAATCCTGATTCGCTAAAAGTGTGATCTTATTTTATTTTCAAGTTTTTGGTTTTTAATCTTTTTGATAAAAGCGTGTTTTTTAAAAAGTTTTTTTTTAACATTTTTTTATTTGCTACTTTTTAGTCTCAATCTTTTAATCGAATTTCGACCACAACAATTCAAATTCAACTCCACTTCGTTGCACTTCGTTACGTTCAACTGTTTATAGATTACAGTCGGTTCATAGGTTACAGGTGTGTTGAACTTCACTTCGTTTCACTCCGTTTTGTTCAACTGTTAATATATTCCCAAGTTTTTAATGGGTAATTAGTAATGACTGTCAAAATTTTTCATTCGTTTTTATAATTTAAGTCATACCTGGAAACACATAAAACTCTTCAAAAAAATGTCCTGAACTTCAATTATGTGCGCTTTCTGTGTTTTTTAAAACATTCATTAGTAAAGTACATTAAAAATCAATCGTAAAGATTTTGTGTTTATCCGTACCATTCTTACTACATAACGTATGGATTCTTAACATAAAGATGCAAATCACATATGTAACGTATTTATAACGGATTTTCAAATTTAAATTCAATGAATATCATTTATATGTTATGCAAAAATACGTCAAGCCGTTAATATATAGAAAAGTCAATTTAATTAAATTGGTGAAGTGTTATAAATAATGTAATACATTAAAAGCAGCACAAATTTATGCTCAAACTAAATGAGCTAAATGCACATAGCATATTAATAGTTATTTTGCATTAAATCGCAACGGACTTGTGCTTAACGGTTTTTTTGAAAATTCAAATTTTCACTTACAAATATTCATGAAAAAATTACTTGTCAATTTTTTTTGTCCTACCAGAATATCTTTAGCTGCTCAAATTTATAGTATAACTAATAATTAGTAATATTAATTAAACTATAATGAAACATATAAATGACTTTTGAGCATTTCAAGTATAACATTTTCAACAAATCAAAATTTTATATCATTGACATTGGATTTTTTTCCCATATAAAAAAGTTTTACTTAAATTGTACTATAATTAAGCATTTTTGTGGTTCCAAAGTGTTAAAACATTGTATTGTCACCGGGAATACGTGTGTATACAAAATTTGAGCTCGATTGGAGCAATAGAAGTGGTCGAAAAATCGATTGCAAGATTTGTACGTGACATACAAAGAAACCAACAGAGCAACTCAATAAAAAGCGTGTAATAATAAAGTCAACAAATTCGAATGACGTAAATGTTTTATCTTTTTAGATTCACAAGTTAATTTAATGTTGTAATTGTATCTTTTATTGGTAGTTTTTTCTTTGTAGCTTGTTCTTTGTTGTATATTCTTAGTGTTGTTTTGTGTTTTTATTCGAGTTGTCTTCGTTTCGTCTTCGTGTTTTATTCGTGCTATCCTTTTATAGTCTTCTTGTTGTCTTCGTGTTGTCTTTATTTAAACTCATTGTTTTTATTTGTTTGCAATTACAAATGTCCTTTTCAGCCACAAGTCAAACAAAATTTTATGTTCATTTCTATAAGGATGCTTCTCATCTCTTATTTGGTCTTGAATTGGATGGACTTTTGAGTGTTTATTGCACTTATATCTTGAATCTGTCATTAAGGATCTTTCAATTTTCCACTTGGATATCCAGAACAATGATTCAATTAGGAAAATTATGACAGTTCCTGCACACGACCACAACCAAATTACAAACCCAAAACGTAATCTTTCAAACGTCAAAACTGTCCATTCTTTTTTTGATTCATAAACGAGTTTTCCTCTCATTAGATCCAACATTAAGAAATCTATGATTCCAGCTGTCGTCAATCGTTGTGTCTCTTTGTCAATTATTTGTAGAAAATAGTTATTAATGAAGAAGAAAAAGCTTATTTGACTGACCTTAAAATTGACATTTTTAAGTTGATGCCAACGCAATGATTTACCAAACAAAGACTGATAGTAACTATAAGTATTTGATTGAATGATCATCGATGTTTTAGCTGATGAATTTTGTGATTGGGTAGTAAGCAGGTATTCAAGTTCATCGTAGGATGACTGCTTAATTACAGGTCTGAAAAATTTAATAAAAATTTATAAAACAATGAACTTAAAGCTGAGCGCCTATGTGGCTGCATAATTTTTGTGAAGCTTTGCGGTTTTTTAACCTTCAAAAAATTACTTACAGTTCATTTTTATCTTCGTTAATCATTTTATCTACAATCTTTGGACTTATGTTAGTATACATTGTGTAGTTCTTGATCTTTAAATCCTGAAAACTCTTTGGTGATGGATGTCTAGGCTCAGTTGTCATAAACTCAAACATTTTACTTTGATAGCAAGTCCGAAAAATCAAACAAAAAAGCACAAAGATGATGAGAAGGCAACGTGGAAAACTTTTCCTCGGAACTTTATGCTGTGCGATGCCAAAAAACGCGCTGATGACATTTAGTGCTGGTTTTTGGATGTTCACACCGTAAATTCCTTCCTGCACTAGTTTTGGTGACTGATTAATTACTAATATAGCAGCAAAAGCTACACAAAACACAAAAATCAAGAACTTCCATGTGAGATCATCAAATGGCAGCCAGAGCTTCTCATAAGGCGTGTACAGCTCCCCAGGAGTAGTCAAAATAATATCACGAATTTCCAAAAATGATACAGTGAAGTGCATCTTCATGTCAAATACTGAACTGGGACGAAAAACATTAAAACAAACTTCAGCCAGGTGACCTGCTTCCTCCTCGAACCTTTGAAATTTTGGAACAAAATTGTACTTTTGAGACAGATCAATAAATATTTGTGGAATCAGTCCAACTACGCGTCCTTCATGATTTTCATCATTTATAATTATATTTGCAAAAAGTGATGATTTTATGTCTGGAGCCACCCACAATGTCAAGTTGCAGCCATAAAAGTCTTGAAATTTTTCATAAATCTTCAATTTTTTCGACCATTTTTGTGTCAATTTGTTGAATGTGTTGAGGATGACAAGTTGTGGATGATTGCATGCTGATTCTGTGAACCATTCAATTGTTGTAAGCTTTAGATAGTGGCCGTCGTTTATGAGCAGGAACTCGTAGTTCTCAATCAATCCTTTTTTAAATGTCAGCTGCTTCTTAACTACGAGATACTCGATGTAATTTTGAAGGTTGTTCAGCTTGCAATTTTGAATATAAATCAAAAATCTGAAACTTTTTGTAAACTGATTCGCTAAGAAAACTTTAGAATTGATGAAATTCAAGTCTGCACATGATGATGCGAGGATAACAGCTGAGTTAGTAGTAACAAAGATTCCATTAAGCTTGTTAGGAATTGAACTAAGTCGATGAGTCAATGTGCCGTAATTTTTAATCAAGAAATCTAGCTCAAATTGATTCTTTATTCGGTCGTTAATGACAACAATGTCGAACTGGATCTCATTTTTAATGTAAAATTCTTGAACGACTTCCTTTAAACCTTTTGAAAATGAATAAAATTCTTGACTTTTAGTCACTGGTAATTTAAAAATATTTTCAAAAAACACCACAAAAATCGTCAAGAGATACAAAATTTTGTAGCTCTTCATGTCAATTGCTACATGGTGACTGGTAAAAAATCATCGAAATAGTTTTTTTCACCCATCAACTAACGAACTAGAGTTAAAAAATTAATATTAAGATTTCAGAATGTTTAAATCAGCCGCAATGACATTCAAGGCAATGACCATGTCGTTCATTATCGTAAAAAAGATTTTTGTTATTTTTAATTGTTTGGTTAATTATAAGTTATAAGTACTGCGTGCGTTTTTCATGCATATTAATTGAGTTATTTATTTTATCATTTTACTTGTTAATCAAAAAATGCGTTTTTTACCATGCAAGTAAAGACTTTTTTACTTGGGTTTATTTTTGAAAAATTCTTTATAGATTGCTGATTTACTAAAATATGGATATCAGGTTCAGCAACAGATTGAACCAGTGGTTCTCAATCTAAGTGCTTTAACACACATGTTTGACAACATCCATTTATTGTAAAGTTGTCTCAACTGTGTGCCGTAGAAAAATCAAGAAAATATAACAAACTGCACACTGTGACCGGTTTTGATCTTTGACTAAATCTTTGTTTGAATTGCATTGATTTATGGAAAATACTGTTGGTAATTCCTCAACAAGGTCCAAATGGAGCTATGAAATTCGATATAAGGCAAATAAATATTCCCACCATGCCTAAATAGTAAAGATGCTCTTTTAAGAGCAATTTTTAAAAGCACTGATTGGTCAATAACGAAGAATCAATGGATTTACAGTTTGGTATGTTCCTTATTAATCTTAACTGGATAAACAAAAGAAAATTTATTCCACTCGTATCGGATGTATCCTCTTAATCTAATTTTAGCTATTGACAGAGCAGACCAGATCAATACTTCAACAGTAAAAGCAGCAACAGTAACAACACACGAACACAACCAGATGACAAAACCAAAATATAAATTGTCCAATGTTAAAACTTTCCATTTTGTTTTAGAATTCACTCGTCTGGTCCTGAAGAGTAAACTCTGTAGAAAATCCATAATTCCAGCTGACCTCAACCGTTGTGTCTCTTTATCAATTATATGAAGGAAAAAATTATTGATGAAAAAGGAAAAGCCAATTTCGTTGACTTGAAAATTGATATTTTTTAATTGATGCCAATTTAGAGACTTTCGCATCTGGAAAAAGTCTAATGAGAATGACTCAATAATTAATGAGAGTTTTGCTGATGAGTTTTGAGATTGCGTCGTTAGGAGATATTGGAGTTCTTCAAATGTCGTCTCGTTAAATGAAGGCCTAAAATTAAAAAAGGGGTGTGAAACCAATCAATGTTGCTATTAAGAGGATCAAACTACACAAATTTGTCTAAAGAACATGAAACTTTGATTATTTGTTAACAAGGGGTGTAAAACTATGATTATTTGTCAAAAAGGGGTGTGAAACTTTGATTATTCGTCAACAAGGGGTGTAAAACTATAAATTTTTTGACAACAAGGGGTTTGAAACTATGATTTTTTCTATATTATTCATCTTGTAAACAACAAAGGAATTTCAAACCAACTCTTACCATTTGAGTTTATCAATTTCAGTCATCTCGTCTACAGTTTTCAAATTTGTTATTGTGTAAATTGTAAAATTTCTGTCCCTTAAATCCTCAACAGTTTTTGGTGGAAGCCGTCTAGGCTCATTTGTCATGAATTCAAACAATTTACTTTGATAGCATGTCCGAAAGATCAAACAAAAGAATACAAAGATGATTAGCAGGCATCTTGGGAAATTTTTTAGTGGGACTTTGTACTGTGCTATGCCAAAGAATGTACTAATGACATTTAGTGCTGGCTTTTGGATGTTCACACCATAAATTCCATCTTTTATTATTTGTGGGAGTTGATTGACAACAAGGATTAAAGCAAAAGCCACACAAAACACGAGAATCAAGAACTTCCAAGTGAGATCATCAAATGGAAGCCACAGTTTTTCGTAAGGCGTGTACAGCTCTCCAGGAGTCGTGACAATCACATCACGAATTTCCATAAATGATGCTGTAAAGTGCATCCCCATGTCCATCACATAACTAAGCCGAAAAATGTCGAAACAAACTTCAGCTTGTCGACCATTCTGTTCCTCGAACCTTTGAAATTTCGGTAAAAAATTGTACTTTTCTGATATGCCAGCAAATGTATGTGGAACGATTCCAAAAGCAGCTTTTTGATTGCTGTCTTCAAGCACCTCTATGTTAGAGTACAAAGAAGACTCCTCACTCGGTGCAATCCACAATGTCAAGTCACAGCCATAAAAGTCTTGAAATTTTTTATAATTTTCCAACTTTTTGCTCCACTGTTGTGTCAATTTGTTGAATGTGTTGAGGATAACAAGTTGTGGCTGATTGCATGATGACTCTGTGAACCATTCGATTGTTGTAAGGTAAAGGAAGTTATTGTCGTTGATGAGCAGGAACTCGTAGTTCTCAATCAATCCTTTCTTGAATGTCAACTGCTTATTCACAATTAGCTGTTCGATGTTATTATCAATAAGATGTAACCCACAGTCCTCAAGGTAGATCAAGAACTTGAAAGTTTTAGTAAACTGATTTGCTAAGTAAACATGAGTGTTGATGAAATGCAGGTCTTCACAAGATGATGCGAAGATAACAGCTGAGTTAATTATTCCAAAAACGTCATTTAAATTTCTTGAAAAGGAACTCAGTCGATAAGAGTTGTTTAGTCTGTTTTGAGCTGATAAGCGATAAAATAATTCATCAAAGGTTCTTTTATCATCTTCAATAAAGACAAAGTCATACTGGATCTTATTTTTGACGTAAAATTGTTCAGCAACCTCGCGAATTGCTTTTAAAGATGACAGAATTTCTGAATTTTGAATTAAAATCTTTCCATTTAATGTTCCAAAGATTAAGCAGCTCAAAAGACAAGTCTTCAAGTTCATGATGTTCTTTGAACGTTTAAAGGAAGTCTAAATAAGCTTTCTTCATAAGAATTTTATTCAGAAATGAATATTACAATTGAATAATTATATCCAAACGTCATGTTCTTGATTCTGATTATTTTGGACATGAAAATGTTATCGTCAGCTTGTCAAAATGATGTAAACGGTTTATACTTTTAGAATCACGCTGTTCGTGAAATGTCAACTGATGTAAGAAATGTCAACTATGATGGCAGTTCAGTGCTATTTAATCTATTATTTTGCTTTAAGGGAGGAAGCTTGAGCCATATCACTGCTATTTTGCCTTAATTCCTTGTTAATCAATCATGTCTGAGTGTCGTATTGAAACTTTAAAAGTTGCCATTTGCAACAAATCTCGTGGCTTTTTATTTTAATGCTTGTCATTTCCTTTTTGATTATGGATTGGATGGATTCTTCAATATTTACTGTTTTCATGTCTTATTCTCGCTTTCAAAAATTGTTCAATTAAATTCTAAATATTGAAGACCAAAATATAGCTTCGACAACAAAAACCGCGACAGTTCCTGCACACGATCACAACGAAATGCTGTGCATTATTAAGGCTGTGCATTTATAGAGCTGTGCGTTCTGAAAGTTGTGAATTATTAAGGCTAAACGTACTTAAAGCTGTACATTATTAAGTCTGGACAATCTCAAATATGTGTATTCTTAAAACTGTACATTCTTAAAGCTATTCGCCCATAAAGCTTAGCATAATTAAAGCTGTGCGTAACTAAAGCTGTGCGTTCTTAATGCTCATCATTTTTTAAACTGTGCGTCGAAGAAACTGTAAATTTTAGTGAAGTTTTTCTTCAAACCTTTCAAATCGTTTTCCATACATTTACTATTCATAGCATTGGATTCAACTGATAAGCTTAATTTGTTAATTATCCAAAAATGAGCTACACAAAAGCCAAGAACATTTTAATAGAATCAATGCACACGTGCATCGAAACAGTCGTGATCAGTCGAAACTTTATTTTCATGCATAAAGAAAACTTTTCATGAACTTTTCAATGTTTTTCAATTCATGGATAATTTTTGTGGCTTTCGTTGATGGAGTTTTAAAGCCTGTAACACAAAATTTGGAAGTTCTTTCAGTTTCTAAAGCAATCAATGAAATAATTGACGAGTTTTATGTAAAAAACCAAATCCAATTTGATGTTCGAGTTGTTCGAGAATATTCTGGACTTTTGAATCCAATTGTTGATGGACTTTTGGCTGTGATTAAGGATCAAAACTCTTATACTTTGTATGCTAGCAATCCAGATATGAAAACTGGTTTTGGACTCAAATCATCTGCGATTTTTCTTTCATTTTCATGTTCGGATTACTCACTGATCCATAAAGTAACTCGACTCTGGAATTATTATCCAAAAAACTTGAAATTTTTGACTTTTATTCAAAGCTGTGGACTCGAATATTTTAACAGTAATTTAAAGTACATCACCAATACACAAAGATTGTCATATAAATCAGGAAGTTTAGACATGTTTGAATTCATCCTCATCAATGATCAAGACATTTTATACCTTACAACAATCGAATGGTTCACAGAATCAGCATGCAATCAGCCACAACTTATAATCCTCAATAAATTCAATAAAACCTCACAAAAATGGTTCAAAAAATTACAAAATTATGAAAAATTCAAAAATTTTCATGGCTGCAACTTGACATTGGGTGTTGATGCCGAAAACAATGATGGCTCATGCTGGGGAGCAATCGATTTAAAAGCGAATTTTCAAATTATTGGATTAGGACCTTGCATCTTTAATTATCTTTCACAAATTCACAACTTTACATCAAAAATATACCCAATAACTAATAAAATCCCAGAAAGTGCCGTCAATGTGCTGCTTTTTGTATTCCGCTTTGAATTTAATGACATTCGTTACTTCCATGTAACTTCAATGTTTGTTCAAGCTGAAGATATTATTGTAACAACTCCTGGTGAGCTGTACAGTCCATATGAGAAGCTTTGGCTTCCTTTTGATGACACGACTTGGGTTATGCTATATTTGACATTCCTTGCGGCTTTTATTACAATTTTATTAGTCAATCGAATGCCAACATTCATTCAGAAGTCAATTTTTGGCGAGTATGTTCAAACTCCAGCACTAAATGTGGTCAGCACATTTTTTGGGATCTCACAGACAAGACTTCCAGCTAGCCACATTCCACGAGTTATTTTGATGCTCTTTGTGTTTTTTTGTTTGATATTTCGAACTTGTTATCAAAGCAAACTGTTTGAGTTCATGACAAGTGAACCGAGACGTCCACCACTTAAAAGTATTGAAGATTTAAGGGACAGGAACTACACGATGTATACAATATTAACTATGGATTATGTAGATAGACTAATTCAGGATGAAAGAAATGTTTGGTAAGTTGTTTTGTTGCTTTGGAGGTGTTGGGTGAGGATATAGCTAGCTCGCATACGATTGGAGGTCTATACCTTTAATTGGGTCCTATAAGATATTGGTCATGATTAAATATCGGTTTCTAAGGCTAATCGGTGAGGCTGAAAGAGGTTGAACTTTGATTTGGTACTCAATCAAGCTCTGAAAGCCGGTCTCAGATGTGAAACTAACTTGCTCTTGACTAGACATCTTCAGCTTGCTTGGTTTATTCCCATACAAACCCTTAATCAAATACCTGCTACCTGCAGCAACCTCAAATATAAACTTAATTTAATACTATTTTCCCATTTACCAGGCCGAATGTCACAGAAATCAGCACTTCTGAGTTCACTAGACTTTTTGAATCACAATCAAGGAATGCTTCAGCAAAGCTATCGCTCATCATTAACATTGGAAATATCAAGAATTTCGTGCAAGACCTTCAAAAATCTTATAAATGGCATAGAATTCCAAATTATGGACTACAAGTAAGTCACACGGGCTTTGTTATGGCACCAAACAACTTTTTCTTCAATATTCTCGATGACATTATACAAAAGTTGATACCAGCTGGAATTATTGATTTTCTTATCGATTCATGCATTCACAGTGGCATAAAAATTGATGATTCAAAAGACTTGCTAGCGCTGTCTGTTGACAACTTAGCTTTTGGATTTGTCATTTGGTTTGGATTTTATTTAGCATGCTTTCCGATCTTTTTGATGGAAATTTTAACTAGAAAGATATTTGAGTGGACAACAAAGATCAAGAATAAGGAACAAGAGCTTCACTCAAACGAAGTTAAAAAGGAAATTGAACAGTTTGTTACTGTTATCATTCAAAAAGTTGACAAAGGACTGGAAATTGGAAATTGGCAATAGAATGTTGAATGTGGAGTCGCGCTAGAACTTAATAAGAGGTAGTTGGAAGATGCACAGTGGTGTCAATATTGAAAGCATTTAGTGAGAAATTAATTTAACAAAAAGATGTCAAATTAACAAATTAGATTTAATAATCAAAAATAAAAATCGGGGTGTTAAGTTCAGCAGTAATTTTGGTAAAATTGGACATTTTTGAATCATTTTCAAGTCCAAATGGTGATATAGAAGTCGACATACGTCAAATAAATATTTTCATTCATATTTTTGTATAACAATTCTCGTGGCTTATTATTTTAATGCTTGTCATTTCCTTTTTGATTATAAATTAAATGGATTTTTTAATATTTACTGTTTTATTATCTCGTTCTTGCTTTCAAAGATTGTCTAGTTCTGAAAATTGAAGTACAAAATAAAGCTTCGTTTATGAAAACCAGGACAGTTTCGACTACAAACCCAAAATGCAAATTTTCAAATTTTCAAATTTTCCATTTGTTTTTGGATTCATATATTTGATTAACTCTTGCCAGTCGTTGTTTATCGCTGTGTCTTCAAGTCAATTATTTGTAGGCTGTCCATCGGTTTTGGTCAATTTTTGGTAAAAAAGCGGGATACGTTTTGATTTCAGCTCTGAAATGTCCCGTTTTTTTTTCTTCATTTTCCAAGAAAAATACGTTCAAACAGGCAGGACATTAAAGATTTTGGACGGGCAATGACATTTTTCACAATCAACATAAAAGTTTAGAAAGTTCTTGTAAATCAAGATAAGTTGATCTTGATAAGTTTTTTGATTAATTAACGAGAATCTAAAATTTTATGATACTTTTCTGTCATTTGCCTTCCAATCTCACATCACTTCCCCCATTTCTTTTTCTATTTTAAATCCGCCCTCCTAAAAAGCGAACGTAATAAGTGAACAAACCCTAAACAAAATACTAAGTTGGGCTAGTTCACATCACGACTTTATAGTTACAGTTAAAAAGTTAAAATTTATTTCAGAAAGTATTTATTCAGTCATTAAACTGAATGTTTTAATGGAATTAAACAAATCCCCCAAAGTAAACAGAAATTTCTTTATTTTGCTAGGGTTTTTATGAAAAAATCACAGAAATCCCGCGATCCTTAAATTTTTCCTTACAAAAGAATTTTTTGTCCCCCCCCCCCTCTTCAAATTTCTGGCTACACCCTGATATTTACTATTCTAACATTTGGATTCAACTGATAAGCAAAGTGTATTAATTATTCAAAACTAAACTACATTTAAACCAAATTTTTTTTTCATAGAATCAAGGCATACGTTCATCAACATTTCTGTTTAGTCAATACTTGATTTTCAAACAAAAAATAAAATTTTATTAACTTTTCAATGTTTTTCAATTCATGGATAATTTTTTTGCCTATCGTCGATGGAGTTTTACAGCCTGTAACACAAAATTTGGAAGTTCTTTCAGTTTCTAAAGCAATCAATGAAATAATTGACGAGTTTTATGTAAAAAACAAAATCCAATTTGATGTTCGAGTTGTTCGAGAATATTCTGGACTTTTGAATCCAATTGTTGATGGACTTTTGGCTGTGATTAAGGATCAAAACTCTTATACTTTGTATGCTAGCAATCCAGATATGAAAACTGGTTTTGGACTCAAATCATCGGCGATTTTTGTTGCATTCTCATGCTCAGATTACTCACTGATCCATAAAGTAACTCAACTGTGGAATTATTATCCAAAAAACTTAAAATTTTTGACTTTTATTCAAAGCTGTGGACTCGAATATTTTAACAGTAATTTAAAGTACATCACCAATACACAAAGATTGTCATATGAATCAGGAAGTTTAGACATGTTTGAATTCATCCTCATCAATGATCAAGACATTTTATACCTTACAACAATAGAATGGTTCACAGAATCAGCATGCAATCAGCCACAACTCATAATCCTCAATAAATTCAACAAAACCTCACAAAAATGGTTCAAAAAATTACAAAATTATGAAAAATTCAAAAATTTTCATGGCTGTCACTTGATTATGGGCATTGAACTAGACAAAAATGAAGGTGGATGTTGGGACACAGCAATTATACAGTTTGAAGACGAAATAATTATTCAACTCATCGGAATTGGTTCGGAAATTTTCGGATATCTGTCAAAAATTCACAATTTTGAATCAAAATTTAAATTAATAAGCAACGAATCAATCTACAATGATGTAGATGTGTTCCTGCCTATATACCGATTTGAATATATTTACATTGGACACTTTCATGTGACAACAATGTTTGCACAAGCTGAAGATATCATAATTGCAACACCTGGCGAGATGTACACTCCGTACGAGAAGCTTTTGTTACCTTTTGATGACACGACATGGATTATGCTGAACTTGACATTTTTGGCTGCATTTGTTGCTATTTTAATTATTAATCAAATGCCAAAATTCATTCAGAAGTCAATTTTTGGTGAAAATGTAAAAACTCCAACATTGAATGTCGTCAGTACATTTTTTGGCATCTCACAAACTAAAGTTCCAACTGGACACATTCCAAGAGCTATTTTAATATTTTTTGTGTTCTTTTGTCTGATTTTTCGGACCTGCTTTCAAAGTAAAATGTTTGAGTTCATGACAAGTGAGCCTAGACGTCCGCCTCCGAATTCAATGCAAGATTTGAGGGACAGGAACTACACAGTATATTCGAATCTATTAAAAGGCTACATTGAGGACTTAATCAAGGATGATGAGTATGAATGGTTAGTAGTTTATTATTTAGGAACTAGAGATACTTAGGATGAGCAGAGAGGCAGGGAGTCTGAGACGGGGGGGGGGGGGGGGGGATGTAGACAGAAATAACAACCAATAACCTTACTAGCTTTATTATTTTATTCAACAGGCCAAATGTCAAAGAAGTTAGTGACTCTGAGTTCATTCGACTCTTTACAACACAATCACTAAATGACTCAGCAAAGATATCTCTAATCTTAAACATTGGAAACATCAAAGACTATATTCAGGATCTTCATAAGTCTTTTAAATGGCACAAAATTCCAAACTACAAGCTTCAAGTAAGCCTTACTGGATTTATTTTAGCTCCAAATAATTTTATCTTTCACATCCTCGATGACCTTATTCAGAAATTGATGCCAGCTGGGATTATTGATTTTATGATTGACTCATGTCTTACTAATAGCTCTAAAATTGTTGACTCAAAGCAGTTGTCAGCACTATCTGTTGATAACTTGACTTTTGGATTTGTCATTTGGTTCGGATTTTTTTTATTGTGCTTTCCAGTCTTTCTGTTGGAAATTATAACTTGGAAAGTATTCGAGTGGATAAAACAGAAACCAACTGACCGAGTTGGAAATAATGTTAAACTTGATTCCACTGATTATCAAGAAGTTAAAAAAGAAATTAGGGAATTTTTGGCAGTTATCATTCAAAAAGTTGAATTGGATGTGAAATTTTAATAAAAAAAAAAAAACAGAAATTAAATGTGGATTGTTCTGCTTTATACGAGCATCATCAAGGATCCATTAGAACTTTTATATTGAAGGATGGAGAACCATGACGATATGAAAGCTACTCAACAGAATCAACTTTATACTTTTAATTTATGACTCAATAATTTTGAAAAGCAGTCAAGCTGCATTTGGACGTAAAAGTAGAAATTTTCTTAAGAGACACGCAGTCACAATTAAACTATTGATTTAATGACCAAGTCTCGATATCTTGCTGAAAAAAATTATCAAAAAAATACAATCTAAATTTGTCAATTTGAGACAGTCTAGCGCGGAGAATTAGTCTTGATTCAATTTAGTTATAATTAATCTTTTGAGCAGCTTACTAGTTTATTTCATGTATTTTATTATTTTTGTACTTTATTTGGGATTTTCTGACGGCTTTTTTGTGCCTAATCGAGATTATTTTAATGTTTTGAGAATTTTTAAAGCACTCAACGATGTTGTTGATGAATTTTTTATAAAAAATCAAATTCCATTTAATATTATTGGTGATTCTGAAGATTTCTATGACTTGGATGGATTTTATAGCAAGCTTTTGGGTCAAAATGATGCTCAATTCACATACTGGACGCGAACATTGATGAGAATTCAAACAAATCTTAAAGATTCAGCCGTAATTTTTGTTAAAGATTGTGAAGGCTACGGACATGTCATTAGTCAGTACGTTCTTATCAATAATTATCCAAAAACCATCAAAATTCTCATCTACATTGACGTTTTTGATTTTGAAGGCTTTTGGCGCCAAATTGAGCTCTTTATGCCCACAAACGTTATTTATAATACTGCTGGTATTAAATACCTCCATTACCTGCTCATCAATGAACAAGATGCCGTTCAACTGTCGACCATCGAATGGTATACAAAAGCAGTATGCAATCAGCCAAGACTAAAAGTTCTTAATTTATTCAACAAAACAACTCAAAATTGGATCGAAAAATTAAAAAATTATGAAAAATTCCAAAATTTTTATGGCTGTAACTTGACTTTGGGCATTGATGAATTAGATGAGTCTGATGGAAGATGCTGGCAAGCTATTATATCACGTGGAAGAAAAGTTAAAGACTGGAAGGTGCTTGGCTTAGGACCTAAAATATTTAAAATGAATTCTAAATTGCACAATTATATTCCAAACCACTATCCACTGGGATCTGAAGCTGAAGATGTCGATGTGTACTTACCCGTGTTTCGATACGATTTTGAAAGTCGACAACATTTCCATGTAACCTCAACATTTTCACATGTACGAGACATTATTATAACATCGATTGGTGAGCCATACTCGTCCTATGAAAAGCTATTGCTGCCTTTTGATGATACTACATGGAAATTGCTTATCTCGACATTCTTGATGGCTTTTATTGCCATTATTGTAATCAATCGAATGCCAAGCTTCATACAAGAAAGAGTTTATGGTGAACAAATCCAGTCACCAGCACTGAATGTCATCAGCACATTTTTTGGCATTGCACAGGCTAAGTTGCCTTTAAAGCACATCCCACGATTTATTCTAATTTTCTTCGTGTTTTTCTGTCTTATTTTTCGAACTTGCTATCAAAGTAAAATGTTTGAGTTCATGACGAGTGAGATAAGATGGCCTCCTCCTAATTCTATCAAAGATCTTAAGGATAAGAATTTTATAATGTACACAAATCATAGTGCAAAGAAAGTAAATAGCAGAATTGGGGATGAAATTGATAATTGGTAAGCTCTTAATCAGTGTAGTTGCTTTCTGGCTCACTAGTTTTCTGGCTGGCTAGCTTGTGCACTGAGATCTCGGTATAGGAAGCATATAAAACTTTAGGACATGACTTAAAGTTGATATTCTGGTCCTTTCCCCTTTTTTTCTAAAACAGGCCTCCTATAAAATATATCGATGATATGGAATTCTTTAACATTTTAAAGACACAACTACAAAAAAATGCATCAGCAAAAATTGCAATGATTATTAATATTGGAAACATCAAGACAGACATCCAAAAGCGCTTCTTATGGAACGTGATTCCGAATTATCACTTGGAAGTCAGTCACACTGGATTCTTGATGTCAAAAAATAACTTTTACTTCAATATTTTAGACAAAACTGTTCAGCGATTGCTCTCGTCTGGAATTTCGGATTATATTTTACAAAAATGTTTCTCATTTCGTCTGAGCAATAGCTATGGGAAAAAGGTGCAGGTATTAACATTGAACGATTTAAATTTTGGATTTGTTATTTGGTTTGGATGTTGTGCATTATGTTTTTGTGCATTCTGTGCTGAAATTATGCTTCGGATTGTTCTCAAGAGAGGTAAAAAGTCATCGACTGAAAATATTGTCAGCACTGAAACTGAAACTCAACCTTTGAAGGTTCAAGAGGACATTGCTGAATTTGTGGACTTTCTTATTCATAATGTTAAAATTGAAACTGATTTACAAGCAAATTTGGAATAAGAATTCAAATTGGCTTAGGGGCCATTCACTTATTACGTAACGCTTTTAGGGGAGGGGGGGTCTAAGATTTTGTTACGATTCAAACAAGGAAATTTTTTTTTCATACAAATTTTGTTACGAGGGGGGCGGGGGTCTAAGAAGTCATTTTTTCGCGTTACGTAATAAGTGAACAGCCCCTTAGCCAGAATTTTTTTTTCTTTTTGAGGGAAGGGGGGGCAAGTTCAATTATGGTTGACAATAAGTTACTCCATCAAATTTGATCCAAGCACTTGTTCAATTTCGTCTTAAATTTTCCTGTTTAAACTTGCAGCAAAATAAAGTATAAAAAAATCAAGCATGTAGTCAGACATGTCGTAAACATCAACGTCATCAAATCATTTTCACACTCAGCTGCGTGACTTTTCTCTCAATTTTCATGAAAAACAAAATTTTTTTATCTCTCTCAAAACAAAATAATTTTACAAGAGAACATTCGACGATCGTCGGTTAAAGATGTGACATTGAACATTATTGGCTCCATCAAAAAATTGGCAAATTATTTATTCAGGACCCAAAAAGAGCAGCAAAAATGGACAAAAAATTCACGTAAGATTGCAAATTAAATTCTTAATAAAAATAACAATAAAAAAAATAATAAATTTGTAGATTAATCATGTGTTTGACAGTGGCACTGGTGCATCCATCAATGTCAATAATAATCGAGTGCAAATACGACACATGGAACTACAACATTTTAGGGACAATTTATGACTGCTCCGTTGAAAATTATCCACGAATTGTGACGCACGAGTCAGCACTAATCACAAGAATTAACGGCGAACACAAAAGTCCAAGAAGCAGTGACGATGTGTTTGGATTTCAGGCAGTCAATAAAGTCATTCGATATTTTCCGCGGGATTTGGAGAAATTTTTTAAAAATATTCAAGCAATTTACATCGGATCGAGTCAATTAGAGCAAATCCATCAATCAGACTTGAAGCCTTTAATTAATTTAACTTATTTTTATTTATGGTCAAATAATATTCAAGTCATTGAGGATGGATTGTTTGACTTTAATCCACATTTACAGCTTATTGGACTAGATGAGAATCATATTATTCACATACATCCAAATGTCTTTGATCATTTACACAATTTGAGGTTCTTTTGGCTTAAAAATGCGCCTTGTGTTCAACAAAATGTTCATGACTCGAAAAAGGAAGTCCAAAAAGTTATAAAAATGATAAAAAATCAATGCATTAGTTCTGAATTTTTGGCACTTGATGAGCAATTTAAAAGCCTAGAAAATGCATCGAAAATTTTCGATTCTGAAAGTTTTAATGAAAAATTGGAAGTTTTTGAGCAAAGTTTTTTAAATTCAAAATTTGTGAGTTTTCGTCCATTAAATTACAAGTTTGAGGGTCTTAAGGTTCAAAGGGTTGAGAATTTAGTGAGTAGACATGTTGATGTTGAGAATAGAAGTCAAAAATTGAGTTTGAAGAATATTTTTGTAATTTTGGGAATTTCAATAATTTTTTTTATTTTTGTAAGTTGGGATTTTTAAATTTACAAGGCATTTAAAACTGAAATTTGATAGATTTTCGGTTTTTATAGATTTAATATTAGATTTTTGTGAAAGAACGTTGAATACTTTTGTTTTTAAAAATATAAAACTACGAAAATAATATTAAATTTGTGAACACAAAGTTTAAGATTTATAAAAATTTCTTTTTGTTGATGAAAAAAATTAATTATTTAAATAAATGTCAATCTACCCTAAAATGCTTTTTTCATCATTTTAAATCTTTTTGATGAGCAAACATTTCAGTGATGGACAATTTGAGTTCCATGATAATCCGAAGCACCAATTTCTAGTGACCAACAATGGTTCTCTCGTATGACTTGTGTCAAAATTGATTTAAAACTAATAAATAATTTATTTTGAGACAGGGGTATTGTTAGGAGGGTCTGGACCCCACTAAAAGTTCTGATCCACAAATTGTCGAAATTTTCTTCCGAGAGGAATGCATCTACTCAATCATTTCGCCCACCCCTCCCTCCTAATTGGGTACTATAAGGGCCTAGCTCCAATATCATCCACATAAAATGTGAAATCTTAGAAAAAACCCATGCTTTTACTAAAACTTACCCTAGGTTGCGAACACCTGCAGCAAATCTAACCTTACAGACAATCAACAGACACCATAAATTAATTAAATCAATCCACGGACACTAAGCAACCTTAAACAATAGGAATGTTAGTAAACAAAATAGTAAGTAGACACCAGCTGCTGCTAAGCATGTTCATGAGAGCATTAAAATTAAGAGAAATTCGATGCGTGATTTTCTTTATTTTTTGGGTTGTAAAAATAGAAAATTTATTTTAAAAAGAATATTTTTCACACATTTTTACTATTGGAAAATTTTGTGTTTGACTTTCGTATATTTTTCTTGCAGAATTTTTCTCTTTTTATTGAAAAATGAACTTTGTTTTTGTGAAAAGATGTTATAATTAAATATTACTTTGAGGCAGGGGTGTAGCCAGGAATTTGAAGAGGGGGGACAAAAAAATTTTACATGGATAATTAAAGGAGATTTTGATAATTAAAGGATGATTTTTTCATAAAACTTCTAGCAAAATGAAGAAATTTTCTGTTAACGTTGGAGGATTTGTCCCCCAAATGAAGACATTGTCCCCCAACCCCCCCCCCCCCCCCCCCCCCCCGCCTGGTTGCTCGCCTGCTTTGAGGGAAACACAACTTGATGGGAAAATCATTTATTTTGGAGGTTTTCATTAAAATTATTAAAAGACCATTTTCGACCCACCTCCTCTAGTGCTACTGGATAATTAATACTAAAGTCACACCTCCCGCCCCTCCCCCCTCCCCTTGAGAGGTGGAAAACCGACCCAGACTAAAGAAAATCATGCTTGAAATTGATAAAAATGATGGTTTAACCCCATCCTCCTGATACCCCCTAAAAAATTTACCCACCATGTTGTTTCCCCCTCACTTTATTAAATGTTCAAAGCCGTCAACACGGAATCATTAGCTGTTAATCTGCTTCCATCTTTATCACTTTTCATCTCTTGTGTGCAATAAACAACATAAATAATGTACAAAGTGGCTAATAAACATGCAGCAACGTACTTGTTGAACTCATTCGTGATGAAAAGCAGCCCAATAGCTAACTCAATTGCAAATAGAATGGGAATTATCCATGAAATTTGACTGAATCTAAAAAGAATAAGGTTTGTCGATTAAATTTCCCAAATGGCACATTTTGGAATAAATTTATTAGTATTTCATTAATTTACTCACTTGCTAAAATCATATTTTGACTGAAAGCTTAACACAATAAACACCAGCAGTACGCAAATTATCACAATAACCGTCATGAACATCTAAAAAAATAAAATTAATAATTTAAGGCACAAAACCGTCAATATAATTTCTATTTACAATTTTAGGCACAAAAGCAACTCCAATAAAGCTCAGCAGAACTGACTCCACAACACCATAAAATCCCAGCAAAAAGACATTTGTTGAATGCGACCGAATTGATGATTTTGAGAATAAAATAAAGCCAAACAGTGCAACTGTAAAGATGATGATTATTCCAATTACAAGTGGATTTCTGTCTGTGTACAGCTGGATGCTTGGATTTTGAATGAATAGAGTAACAAAGCCGAAAGTGATGATCTGTCTGAGCTGTAATTTTAGATAATTTTTATATTGTAATGAATATGAAGAAGAAGCTTAACTAGCAGTCAGCTCTACTTAGTACACCATAAAGCGGTGTTTTTTAAACTTTTTTAGGTCCACGGTACTTAAAAACAATGGTACAAATAATATAATGTGCCGCAGGACACAGTGAAAGAACCACTGCCTTAAATTCACAACCAGAGTTGACAAGACTCTTGGAGTCGGACTACAATTGTCTCCTGGACTTCAGTGGACTTCCAGAGTCTGCATTCTCATAAAACAGTGGACTCTTGGAGTAATGACCAAGAGTGTGGAAATGACTAAATGATCAAAAGAGATTAAAATTAAATTTTGACCTTGGGTCAAGACTCCACTTTTTTGGAACTAGATTCGATTTTGGACTCGAATGGAGTTGCTTTCAAACTGGATGTCTGTTAACTCTGATCACAATTGCTTCTACATGAACTCATAACTTTAGAGCAGTGGTTCTCAAACTAAAATGTTTAAAAATCACCAAATGTCTGCCACATGATAAACCAAGGAACTAACGGTTAGTTATTCAAAGGTTGTCAGCGTAGCGCGGAAGCATAAACTGATGATTTATTGTTCCGTGGACTAGAAAGGTTGAATAACACTGAAGTAACCTCATTGAAATCTATTTCAACTAATAAGTCAACAAATCCTCTCGTAAAAACTTAATACACACCAATAATACAATATAAACTCGTCGAATAAATCTTGCTTGAATTCCTTTACATCCAAATTCACTTTCTGTTGCTTCTTCCTTGTTTATTTGTGGATAATAAATGCTTGAATGAATCTCCAACTGACCTTTTTTATTGCTGGGATTTCCCAATTCTAAAAAATAGTTTTTTGACATTTTAACATTATTGTTATTGCTGATAATGGCTTGAATATTTACTTCCTGTTAACATTTTTCTGGTGTTCTTGATGCTGTTGCTTCAACAATTTTATTTAATTTGATATAAATTCACGTTGAATTTTTAAAACTTATCGTTTTTAAAGCAGATGAAAGTATGGTGAAATTGGCAAGCTTTGTTTGGAGTTGTCTAACTTTTGTTATTATAACCAGTTTTTGCTCTTCAGTTTGGCAGATTTATGAATGGAAGTTTGACTATTTTGAACATGAAGCTTGGCGCTATCTAGATGTGAAAATGATAATTTTGAGATTTTGGCCAGAGTTGAATGATTTTTTTTTATGATATATCATTCGATGGGGTTTGGAGATAACGTGGCTTGGTTGGGCTGTGGTTTAAACCATTCAAGCTATTAAAACTAGAATTTGAACTTAACTTCTTACCAACTGCTGAATATTTTTTAAGTTTGGAAGTTAGAAATCATAAGAACATTCAGATCCCACCAAATTTTTACAATAAATAAAAAAGAATCAATGTCATCTCTGAAAACTAAAATAAAAACAATAAAAAATTGAAATTTAAAAATTTCAAAATTAAAATAATAAAAAAATCCAAAACATTTAAAAAATCAAAAGATTTAAAACATTCTGAAATTAAAAAATGAACTTCATAAAAAATTTAAAAAAAATTAAAACATTTAAAAATTCAAAACAATTCAAAATAACTCCAAAGATACAAAAAAGTTTTAAAAAAGTCAAGAAATCTAAAAATTAAAAAAAAATAATAGAAAGTTCAATTCCATTTTAAATTAAAGAAAAAGAAAACATTTTCTTGCCATTTTTATTGAAAGATTTTTTTTCACTTTTAATATTTTTTCTTATAATTTTTCCACATTTTCCTCTTCACATAATTATTATTTTATTCTCATTCATTATTTTCACATTTTTTTCTCATATTTCTCTCTGTGTTTTGTTCCTATTACAATCTAAAAAGCTTCATTTTTATTTTTTTTCAATAGTTTTTTTTAATTATTTTTATTATTATATTCATTTCTAGAAATATAAAAAAGTAACTGAACGTTCAGAATATAGACATAGAGAAGCAAAAAAGTTGACAAAAATTATTTTTATCCTAATCAATTTTTTTTGTGGATTTATTAATTAATTTAATGTTTTTTTAATAACTTTCAGTATTCTTCTCCAATTTTTTTATTTATAAATTTAAATTTTAAATCTTCGCCTATAATTTTTTTTTATTTACTTAAACTTTTGTAAGTTAAATTATTTTTTTCAAGTTTTTTTTTCGGAAAATCAATTTTTTTGTTGAACTTTTGGAGGAATTTTTGATATTTTTAAATGCATAATAATTGAAGTTTTTGATTTTTTAAATGTTTTTAAATATTTTTGAAATAAAAAATTTTTTAATTTTCAAAAACATACAAAATTTCAATATTTTTGATGTTTTAAAAATTCATGGTTTGAACTTTTGCAATTTTTGAAAAGTTAAATATGAAAAAGTTCAAAATTTTTTTATTAAACCTTAAAATTCAAAAATCTTCAAAAATGTAATTTAAAAAAGTTTTCTACTCTTCCAAAAATACAACGAAAAAACATTCTTTCTATCAAAATTATTCGCTCATTTTTTTAAAAACTTTTATTTTTTTTATATAGCAAGTAGAATAATTCTTATTTTTTATTTTATTTTCATTCATTATTTTATTCTCAATTTTGTTTATTTACAGTGAATTATAACAATAATAATAATAATGATAATAATAATTATAATATTTACCCAAGCTATGTGTGCTTAACTTTGTGGTAATCAAATTTTAATTGAATTTATAAAGAAAAATTAATGATATTGTTGAAGTTTGGGTCATGGTTGGGGTTTCACACCCACTTTTAATCGAAATCAAAATTTTAATTTGAGAAATTTTATAGTTTTCCATCTTCAAATTTATTGTTTCAAAGCTAGATTCTTAATTAATTTTATGATGAGAATTTAGGGACAAAGGAATAGTTTTAACCTATTAGAGTTTAAGCTCTGTTCCTTTCCCCAGCGCCATTTAGAAAATCTACTAGATTTTATAAAATTTGAAGAAAACGGTGGCTAACTGGCTCAAAATGACTTCAATAAGCCTTAAGAACGATCATAAAATCATAATGTGAGATTAATAAGCCACAGTTCTTGCGATAACTGTTTTTAAAGATTCCGGAAGCTCCAATCAGCCATAAACCACACACTGACAGTAACAAAGATCATATTTAAGTCTAAATATTTGAAAATTCTATCAATTCATCAATATTTGTGACCACAAAACTACAGCACACAAAGCTCTTCATTATAGAGGCTTTCCAATTGCCACCATCACTTGAATATAGTCCACTATGGAGCATATACAGTCGAATGACGAGACTTGAGCGGGGAGCTTTGATGTCAAATTAATCTTAAATTACAGACAATCAAGTTCAAGAGGACCAAAGTTCATCGAAAATGAATAAATTGCACCTTGCTTAAAGCGACTTTTTATGACCGATAACGAAGCTTGTGATCATTTATACAGGAGATAAAGCTACAGCCAATGTTTATGTTCAGAAATAATTTTTTATATAAATTTTTTGGCAGCTTGATGAATTTTACAAAATTATAGAAAAAGTTGTTATTAATATCTGATTGGTTTTAAGATTCGATCCTGATGCAATCGAGTCACTGTTCCAGGCGGAACTGGCAAAGCTTGAAGCTTAAACATATCCACTTTAAGCTGATTATTGGAATGAATCGTTTAACGATTTTTTAATATCCATTTGATGAACTTTTTTGGTGTCTTGATATAAGCTAGGGTGCCCCCCAACGCCCCCTCAAGTTATGTTTTAATTCTAACAATAATGATAATAATATTTTCATCTTTTTTTTCTTTTATCATGTAATAATTTTTTTTTGCATCATTTTTAATTTAATTAATAAACATTTTCTTTTAATAGCGAATTCCTATAATTTTTTTAACAGCGTCGTAATTTTGGATATTTTTTTTATCATCATCAATTTTTCTTAAATTTTTGCTTAATTTTACGCAATAAATTTCATTTTTTCCCGTTACCACCTTTTTTGTTCTTTCCACATTCATTGAGTGAGATCTCGATGACATCATCGCCACTGTCAAAGCTCCATGCGTCGCTCTCATCGACTGATTTCTCGTGATTTGCTGACGGAATGTTATTGTTATTATTATTGTTATTGTTGTTGCTGTTGCCATTGTTACTGCCGCTGCTGTTACCAGTATTGTTGTTGTTGTTGTTCGAAGATGTTGACGTTGCGGCTGAAGGTGATGAGTTTTGAGTGGTTGATGATGACTGACGATTGAGTCACAGGCGTAAATCGTAGGCTATCTTACTAGCAATGTTCTTGAAGCCAATGCTTGTACCTAAAATTTGTAATTTGTATTTATTGCATTATTAGCTATTGTTGCATTTTTTTATTTAATTAAATTAATTAACAGCTACTGACAGCTGTTGTCAGCTATTACCAGCAGTAATAAATAGCAGTCTCAGCGACTGACCACAGCTGACAGCAAATGGAAGAGACTGACAGCTATTGGAAGTGACTGACAGCTAATTGAAGGTACTGGGAGCTACTGACAGCTACTAGCTGCTGCTAAAAGTAGCTGAAAGCTCTAAATAGCAAATAATAGCCACTAAAAGCCACTACCAATAATGACTGACAAACTGACAATCAAATAATAAAGCTTAACTTACCAGAAATTCGCTTAAATCGGACTCCGTTAAGCGACAGTCGAGGCAATTTGCAGACTTCAATTTCCCACTGTACAAGTGAGTCAGTATTTGGATCTCCGTGGACGCAGAGTAGGACAAATCTAAAAAAAGATCAAGAATTAGGCAACATGACCTCAAAAATATTAAAATTTTATCCTTACCTTTCCCTCTGCTCATAATCGCAATTATTCTTATCAAGAACCGATCGTATCTCAGCCATGATGTCGTCAGGCAGTCTCGGTGATGTTGTCTTCATCGACCATGTGAATCTCAGCGCACGTGGCTTAACTGGCTCCTCAGAATTTGATCCGCTGTGATTAAAAATTTGTTTTTCAAATTCAAGTATTTTTTGGAGTCGCATTTTTTTATTTTTTTTATTTTTGGGGGGGTTCGGGGGGTTAGTAATGTGCAGAAAATAAGAAAAAGATAAATAAATTAAGATTTTAGGTTATGTTAATTTTTTGGAAGTTTCTATAAAGATTTTGCTAAGTTTTTGGGGGTCTTTGGTTTTAAAAATTTGTTAATTTTGAGTAAATTCTTTATTTTGATACTAATGACCTTGTTAATGTTTGAAGAACTTAAATTTTCTGTTATTAAATTTATTTCATTTGACTATTTAGCATGTTAAATCTTATGTTGAGGTTATGGAATTTGGTTGCTCGAATGAACATTTGACATTCCCTAGCACTGCAATACTTAGCATCATGAAGTTGTAATTAGGGGATTCTAAGCTATTCTTCAATCAATAGCTCATATTTGACGTACTTGCATACCCCTCAACCTCAACATCATGCTATATATTAGTCACAACCACAACTTCATCACTTTTTATTAATCTACTTTCATCTGTGCATTAAATTCCATTTTTAAATTATTTCTTAACATTTTTGTTTTGTATATTTACCTAATTGGTGTGCTTGGACTGTTAGCTTGGCCATCGATGGGTCTAAAAAATCATAAATTTTGTTTTGTTTGTTAAAATTTTATCTTTTTTTTTCTCAAGTAACAATAAATAAATTTTTTTATTAAAATTAAATTCTTTTTGCAATAATAATAAAATAAAACATTTAAATATTTGGTAAATTTTTGTGGAGTTGAATGAGAAGAAGGCTTTTAAGGGTTTTTTTTAAATCTGATGTTTGAAATTGAACATTTGAGCAAAACCTTCTAAAGTTTTGTAAGAAAGACATGCTAAAAACTTTACTTGACATGCTTAAACTGCATGCATGGAATAATATGAAAATAATTCAGGCTGATTATGTTAAAAGGTCTAAAGCTGACTTTTTCTAGTTTTTATTGTTTTGAATTTCAAAATAATTTTGCCTTTTAAAGATTTAAAAATATCCTTATAAAATATTATTTTCTTTCTTCAAATTTGAAACACTTCAAAAATTTCAAATACAGGAATTTTAAAAATACAAATTTTTGAAAACTCTGAATTCAAATTTTTGAATGGCTAATAATTTAAAATTCAAAAACTCTGAAAATTCAAAAAGTCAAACGTTAAACATTTTAAAATTTCAAAGTTTTAACATTTTATAAAAAATCAAAAATTCAAAATTTTGTCATTATCTAAGGGGTTATTCACTTATGACATCCAGGTTGATAGGGGGTCAGCAAAATAGAAATTTATTTGGACGTCATTAGTGAACGACCCTATAAGTGAATCTTAAAATATTTGGAATAGTTCAAAATTTTTTCATTTTCAGAAAGTTTAAATTTGGAAAATTGGTTTTAATTTTTACTAGTTCTCATGGTTTTACTTTAATTTAATCATGTTAGAGTGTTAATTCAGTCCCAGCCTATCCTAAACTTCCTCATTTTACTCATAATAATTATTAAATTAAAAAAAATCTTTAAAAAAATAAATAAATTCAAAAAAAACTAAAAATTTGACTTCCAATATCTATAAAATGACTTCAAATTGTGCAAACTATAAAGTAAAAATCATGAACACTATTTTTTAAAAAAAATGATGCAATATAACGAAAATTGTGAATTTGCCTCAGATGGCCAAGCTATTGAATTAAAAAATTAATGATTTTCCTACAACTTCTTCATATTTACATTCAAAGTCATTTCAAAGTGATGTGAAAAACAAATTTACAATAAAATCCGGAGTTTTTTTTGAAAAAAACACGCATTTTTGACATTTTTTATAAAGTTGATTAAGTCTTGTCGTCACTGAGTTAAGTTTGCTGATTTTTTATGATTTTTGGTGTCAATTACACTATTCTCTTGCATTATTGTCGCCTGTGCTTTAGTAGATGAAGCAATGTTTAAGAACCAGATCATCCGATGCAAAATAATTATTTTGACACCTCTTTTGACACCCTTTTGACACCCTTTTCACATGCTTGTTGAGCATCATCTTGATTTTTTCTTATTTTTATATTGAACCCACTTTAATTAATGATCATAAATTGCAACTTTCTCGTAAAACTCCTGGATTGCCGACACAAATGCATTGCTCGAGCTTGTCGATACAAAAATCAAATTACTTTCTCATCCTTCTTAAATGAATTGCAGAGAATCAACCTCAAAGAACAAGCCTCATCACATATACCCTTTGGATAGCATTACCAGCAACTTATGCCAGCAAACTGAGTTATTATATTAAAGAATCTCCAAAATTTGAGATTAAGACTGACTCTTAAACTGCATTCGTCATCCAATTTGTATTGAAGTTTTGACAGAGAAATTCAACAGACAAATAATTCAAATAAATACTTGTTTACATGGGGGGATCATCTGCACATTTAATAGAAACATAACAACTGGTTAAACATGGGAGTCGTTCATAAATGACAGGAGCGAGGAAGTCTGGAGATATTTTGATAGTTTAAGCATAAAAATATGTTTTTCATAAAAAAATTTGTGTTGAAGCTGGGGAGGGAGGTGTCTTAAAGTCAAACAAACGTCATTTATGAACAACCCCATTAAAGTTTTTGAGTAAAATTTACAATTTTTTTTGTCCAAGATTTAGATCTGATTGGAGATGTTCACCCCATTTCATACCACAGATGTTCAATTAAATCATACAATTATTTATTATTCTCTTAAAATATTATAAAATACAAATTATTAATGTTTTCACAATATTAAATTCATGTCTACCTACATAAAATATTTACTACAAAATACTCAAATTCTATTTTCTGAAAATTCAAAAAAAAAAAACTTTTACAAAACAAAAAAAAATAATAAAAAAATGTCTACAAATAATAAAAAAAAAGTTTCAACATTACACAACTGCTTCGAAAATTATTCATCGCCAAATTTTTTATTACACATTTTTTTTTTAAATCACAAAACAAAAGATTAAAAAGTTATTTTTGGTTCGACATTCTTATTGGGTTGTGTGGTTGATTCTAAGTGTGTTGTTTATTTTTGTGTTGATTATTTTTATTTATTTATTTTTTTTTGGTAAGAATCGGGAAAAGAGAGAAAGAAAAATTAGAATTAAAAAATTGATTTTTAAGCTTAATTTAAAAAAAATTAAAATTTTCGATGACGAAATAAAAAAAATTTCAATTAAGAATAGATTTTTTTAAAAGCACAGAAAAAGAATTTTTTAATTTCCAATCAGAAAAATAGAGACACAAAAAAATTGAATTAAAAAAATTTATTTTGATGATAAATGACAGTTATGAGTAAATAGTAAATCAAAAACTAAGTCAAGCAGCTGTGTAGAGCGAAACTTTTTTGATCTTTGCATTTTAACGCACTTTTTTTTGATAGTTTTTGAGGAAGTAAGGCTGTAGTTAAGGAAGATGAGAATGATAGTGACATAAAATGGACCTTTTTTAATAGACAAGTAAGCTAAAAGTGAAATAAATTTTTGAGGTTATTTTAGGCAGCGTTTAAGCTTTTGACATTAAATTCAAAGATTTTTTCCAACAAACTGAATTTTATAATTTTTTTCAGCATTTAAGTTTTCATCATAAATCTAAGCTCAGTTTATTGGATTCTCCGGAACACACTTGTATTGTATTAAACAAAATTGATCCGGCACTAGAGTAGGGTGCCCCGGGAATCTTAGATAGCTCCCAAACTCTGGAAGACTCATTCGTTTAAATATTCGCAAAATAAAGCACGAGATCGGCAAGAGCCTTACTAAAAGCCAAGAGCTGAAGAAATCTGGTTCTGTTTAAGCATCACACCGGCCTCATGTCAATGTTATAAATACGTTGTGCCAGTTAAACAATTAATTTTAACTCATTTTAACCACATCCTTACTTCCTAACCATCATTAACAGTTAAAATAATAACAAACAATTTTTTTAAAAACAAATTTAACAAACTAGCCTTTTTTTCGAAAACTATTACAAAATTAACTATCCCGAATAGTACAAGTCGGTTAATCGATCAGAAATCTGCGACCAAGTCAGCAAAGTGATAGAATTGATTTAAATTTCGGATTTATATTCAATCAACCAACTTGTGCTATTCAATTATTAAACATTTTTTTAAATTGATTCAAAATGATTCAAAATTCATGCTTTTTAGACAACCAGTTCAGAATTTCTGAGCAATAACCGCATAGAATTGTTTGCAAATCGACTCTTGACGCTAATGTGTAGCAAATAACTAAAGAAATAGTCCAACTAGTGACAAGTTTTTGAAAGACTCGAGTCGACTCAACTTTTCTCGAGTCAACTTCATTTTCTCGGAGTCAACTCTGAGTAGACTCGGCTTGAGTCGACTCGAAGCCGACTTCTTCATACAAAAAAAATTACCGAGAATTACTGACTCGAGAAAAGTTGAGTCGACTCAAAAAAACCCGAGTTGACTCGAGTCGACTCCAGTCGACTTCGAGCTCTGGTTCATATTAATTAAATATTGATAATATCGAAAACAGATTTGTATCAGTGGTGCATTGCCCATGGCACAAAAAAAAAGGTAAAGCATGGACAAAGCTCAGCCTTTTAAGCTGGAGGCACTGCGATTCAAATTAGAATGGAATCTATTGTACCACACCCTTTAGACCTTCAGTTTTTATATCGGAATCTGAACAACTTGCAAGTTTTGCACATTGTAAAGACACGAGTGCGTCTAAAGACCTGATGTACTTAATAATGTACCTAGTCACAATTTGTGTGCGCATGATGCTGTAATGAAATCATCCAGATGCTAGTATATCCCAGTATATCCTAGTATACCTAGCAAAGGATACACTTTATGTGCCAAAGTTCTCAAAACTCACAAACCGAGTTTCGTAATTAGAACGGAAAAAATAAAAAAAGAGGTTCTAAAACTTGATTTGTCTTGGGATTGAACTCAGAACCTTTGGCAAGTAAGGCAATGCTCTAGAACTTAAGCTACTGATGCCATTTCACTGCTTGGGCATTTCACGCTTTGGTAGTAAAAGTCTCAAAGCTAAATGTTGAACCATTTTGATCAATTTCATTAAATTTTTCAATTAACATTAAGGCACTTAATTTATTAACGACAGTAAATTTTGCATAAATTTCCATCACCAACGAACAGAATTTGACAAAAAATTATAATTTGATTTAAGTTATTTTGTGTCTCTTCTCATTGTCTCTTAGTGATTGTAGCTTTCTTTGTTGTAAAAAAACTAAATCTGTAAGAATTTTTGTGAATTCAAGTAAATGAAAAAATTATTATTAATTTTACAAAAAGGCAAAATTTAAAAAACTAGACCAAAAAGCGACATTTAAAGAATTTTTATTGTGAATTTGATATTAACAAAATTTTGAAATTGAGACAGAAATAGTAATTTTTTGAATAGGATGTGGGTGATGTTAAGAAGATTGTTTGTAAAATTGTAAGAATTTTATTTTTTATATTTTGTTGAAATGTTTTTTAATATTAATTTATTTTAATGTATTTTTTTTCAAATTTATCATCCAAAATTAACACATTTTCTCAACATCATCCACATCGTCATCACAAGACACTCACATGAGACATGAAATTGATTTTCTTTTAATTTCCACATAATAATATTTTTAATTACTAATTCTAAAATCTAAAAAAGAAGTAACAAACTTATCAAACTAATTTATTTTATTTTTTTGTATGAAACTTTAACCCAGTGACGACATGACGGCAGAGACGAGGAAGAAACGTCCCCCAAATAAAATGCAAATAGTTTTTTTTTTTAATTTTACATTATTGAAATAGTGAAAAACACATTAAAAAGTATTAAAAACGAATAAAAATATTATTTTTTTCTTGCACAGATAAAATGTTGCAATTTAATTTAAAAACTTTTTTTTAAATAATTTTACTTTTGACAGTCACAAATAAATGAATGAGACGCGAGCATGACAAAAACATACAGAATGAGAAATTACGAAAAGTATTTTTTTTTTCTTTCATATTTTTTTGATTTTTGCAAAATAAATGTTTCAAGTAAAAGTTTTTTTGAGAAATGAAAATTTTTGGTAAGGTTTTATTTTTGGCAGATGAGTGCACAACTTGGAGGGCGAGATGAGCAGGGGTGTAAAATGGACATGAAAATTTTTCAAAAATTCTTAGCAAATTGAAGAAATCTTTCAAAAAAAAATCTTTGTGCCAGCAACGCCTCTGGAAATAAGGCTCACTGTACGAGAGACTAAAACTAAGATTTTAAAGTAAATCTTAAGAATGTTTGCCTCTAACTTAGCCTAATCTTTTCTCAATCAAGGCTGTGAAACTTATTAATCAATTTTGATCAATTTTAATCAGTTGTGCATCCTTAGTCACATATAACCTAACTTTATGATCCTAAAAATCTGAGATTTTGCTTTCTTTTAAAAAATTATAGCTACAGATTGTCTTATTGTCTTGTGGGACACTAGCAGCCTTTAGGAACTACAAAAATTTGGCTGAATCCAGATTTGACACTACATTTTAATTCAGAACTGCTCTATTGATGACCAGATGGACTCATATTAACAAAACTACTACAGGTTTTAACCCTAGTGTCATTATTACGTTAAATAAGCAAAATAAAAGCAAGAACTTGCTAGTGACTGCATAGTATTGACTTTAAACTGGTTTTCAATCTAATTTATACTCAGACTGAGGATCAGATGATGTTCATTTGAAAAAACTTGAAATAAACAGTCTTGAATGCTCTCACGGAGGACAAGCTAGCTTCTATAATGACTCAATTTAGCCATAGTGTACCCAACCTTTTACAGCAATCTTAATACACCTTGAAACAAAGTCCGAGACAATTTTGACAAAAACTACCTACATATCCAGGAACTGAAGCCTAAGTAGAACCCTATCTTGACTATTTCTCAAGCATTAGCCTAGTTGTGCACTGACTGATGGAACTATATACAATGAGTAATAATTGATTCAAATTAGAGAACAAAGCTGAAGTCTTTCCCATCACCATCACTGACTCAAGTTCTAATTAATACTATAAATCATCTTAAACTACAATCACAGAGTCTGCACTTCAGCTTCAATTCTCCAATCTTTAATAATTTTTATGATGTTTTAATCAAAAATGCTTGAATTATTGACTGAACTTCCATGCCACAAAAGCAGCTTCAAGCATGAAAGTTTTTTTTGTTTGCATATTTTGTTTTATGGACGAGAAAATGAAGAAGTTCTTTTAATAGTCTACATACCGTTTACTAAAGCGATTTGAAATTCTCTGCAAGAAGCTTCCTTTGGCTGCGTCACTACCTGCTGCACCCGATGAGCTACTGTTGCGCGTCCTTGTTTGTCCTGGAATTGAGCGGATTTTGAGGTTAGAATTTAATTTAAAAATAATTCTTTTATTTTTTATTACAATTTTGAATTCTAAAACTTTTATTTTTAAAATTCAATTTTTGAAATTTAATTTTGACTTTTAAATTAAATTTCTATTAAATTTTTTTTGGTATTTATAAAACTTTGTTGAACTTTAAAAAACATTTTTAACTTGTAACAGAACCAAAAAGTTGTAAGCGCAAAGCTTAATTTAACAAAATTGTCAACAAAAATTAAAAGTATTTAAATATATAACCTAAAAATACTCACCCGAATGGAAAGTCGATCTCGAGGGAACATTTCTGGGAAATGCCGACGGTTGTGGCCTGGAAGAAGTATTGGCGGGTGTCAAACTGATCCGATTCGTCAGACTTAATTTTAAAAATTTTGTTTTCAAAAAAAACCAAAAAATTTGCGTGTGTTTGTGTGATTTTTTGTGAGTTTTTTTAACCAAAATAATTTTGAAAAAATCAAAAATTAGAGGACAAAAAATTTTTTGATGTGTTTTTTGTGTTTTATCGCAAAAAAGGAAAAAAGAAAAAAAGAAAAAAAAATATGAAGAAAAATAAAATGGAGACAGAGTCTAATTTGAGGTTCAAATTTTGTTTATTTTTTTGAGAGTTTTTTCAGGCAGATATTTCTCTTTTTTCGTCTAATTCTATGATTTTTTTATGATTATCTACAGTAATTTAGTCAGTCCTGAATCCGAAAATTGAGTTTTTATCTACAAAGACTTGCTTTTACTACTTTCTACAAAGATCTACTACAGATAATTGCTAATAATTATGAAATTATGAAGAAATAAATCAAAATCTAATTAAAAATGAGTAAAACCATAACCAAAAAAAATTATAAAACTAATTTTGACTTAAATCTCCAATTTTTTTAAAAAAATCAAATTTTGAAATTTTTACAAGAAGATAAAAAAGAAATAAATAAAAAGACAGACAATTTAAGAAAAAAAGATACAAAGCAACCAAAAAAAGAGTTGATATTGTTTTTTTGAAATGTCTGTAACCTGTCATTGGAGGTATTTTTCATCAAACGAAAGACTTTGTGTACTTAAAATTATTATTTAACTTAAGCAAACTAAAGATATTGTCAGTTCAATTATAGTCTTTAGATTTCAAATTTTAAATTAAGCTTCAAAACTCAACAATAAACTTTAAAATTCATTTTTTGGTTTCTGAAATTCAAATTTAAATTTTAAACCACAAAAATAAATTTCAAAAATTCAAAATAAAAATAAAATTTCAATATTGAGTTTAAAAACTGATTTAAAATTTTTTTAATTCAAATTTCATCAATAAAATTTGAAAATAATCAAATCGACAATTAAAGACTTAATGAACTAAAATTTAAAGTTTTTTTTAAATAATACGAAAGCATGTTTAACAAAAATTATAGTTTTAAAAACACCAATTAAGCTGCTAATTTTTATGAGTTGAATTTTGAATATGCAGGATTCAATTGTGGAGTTGTTGGATTTCCGTTGGTTTTTGCCGATTTTTGGGCAAAGGCGGGACATGTCCCAATCAGCAATGCTCAATTGAACAGTCTTGGAGTTAATAACTTAGAGACATAGACTGTTTTAAACGGAGGAGTATGAAAGTGGGGACCTTAAGTGACCAGGCACCCCACTCAAGATTAGAATTTCATACAATTTTATTTAGTTCTTTTTTTTAACCTTATTTGGTTCTTGGAACTTTAGCTTGCAGTTAATTAACAAAACTATCCAATTTAATGGAAAAGTAATAAATTGCTCTTAATAATCAAAAGCAGAAAACATTATTGATGTTTAAATAAAAAAAACTTTTGAGCACACCATTGAAAATCCCTGCTTTAGCTCTTAAGCTGTGCAGTAACACTACCACAGCCATACCCTTATCAATCACCTAGAACATCGGGTTCACCCTTTTGTGAGAGGTAAAGCTATAAAAGGATAATGCATGACCAGCAACCTGGCCCTGGTTTCAAGATTTATTCATATATTGACATGTTCTAACATTCTTGCATATTTCAATTTCAACTCGCATCAAGTCATTGTTTTAAAAATATTATCATTTTTTAGCAATTTCAGCATCAACACAAAAATTAAAAACATTTTATTGCGTGACAAAATTCAACACTCACCATCAGAATTAATGTTAAAAAGTTTATTTTTTTATTATTTTTGTTTTTAATTTTGTTATTACAAGCGTGGTGCACAAAATTTTCAATTTTATTGCAGAGATTTTTTTTTGAGGAAGAAAAACGATTTTTTATATATTTTCAAGATGAGGTATAAAAATACACAATTAGAAGAAAGAAAAGAAGAAGAAAAGATGAATTTGAGAAAAAAAGTTTTTTTTATCTACAAAAAATGTAAAATTTAAAAACTTGTTTTACAGGATATTTTTAAATGGTGGACATGAGATGGGGAATGAATTGTTTTTAAGGAAGGTTAAATGCAGGAATTATTTATAAAATATTGATATTTGACAAGATTTAAAGGAATTTTTGATGAATTTTAAAAACTGAGGAACTCAAAATTTAATTTAAAAAAATCAAGCAAATATTTTTAGCTTTAAAACTTAAAAACAAAAGTTGAGATAAATGATTTCAAATTTAAAATTCAATTTTAAACCAAAAATGGAATTTCTTAAAATATAAAAATATTTAAACTTAAAAAACTTCAATTTAAACTCAAAACAAGCGAAATTCAATGATGAAAACTTTTAATAATTTCACAATAAATTCTCAATTTAATTGAAAAACTTGTGAAAATTCATCATCACAAGTCAGAATCCTAACCTTTGACGTAAAGGGTCAGTTTGTGTGGATGTTGTGTTATCGCTAGATGGACCTGGACTAGATACAGATGCACTCTTAACATGACCCTTAGTTCCGCTTGTCGTCGACGGACGACTTCCAAATTCAGCTGCCAATGAACTTTTTTGGTTTTTAATTTAAAATTTTGAATTTTTTAAAAAATTTTCGTGTGTTTGTGTTTTGAGTTTTTGTTTTAATTTTGAGTTTCAGTTTTTTTCGGGTTGTATTTTAACATTTTGATAACAACAAAAATTTGTCAACATTTAATTTTGTTAATGGAAGGATGGTAAATATGTAGAAAAGAAAAAAAGAAAAAGAATCCAAAAAGGAGAGAAAAAGAGACAAAAAAATTTTGATTTGGTTGTGGATTAGTGGCTCGATCTACAGTTAAAATTTGTTTTATGATTGACAAAAAATTTGATAAAATTAAAAACAAAAAACTTATTGATAAAAACAGAGTTTAAAAAACATTTGGGGTTAAGACCATCACCATTTAGTTTAATTTTGCAATTTTCATATTTTTAAATTTTATGAAAAAATAATATGAAGGTTTAACAACCCTCAAATTGATCTAAAAATTGTAGAAATTTATAAATAAGTTTTGGACAGTAAAAAAATTAATATTGATTTTAAAAATTTAAAAAATCAAAATGAATTTTTATAAATTTTTGAAAAGTTCAAAAATAAAATTGAAAAAATTAAACAATGCAAAACTTTTGAAATAAATTAACAAATTTGCAAAATTAAATATCTATTCTAATTACTAACCGCCCATCACCTACTTATTTGAAACCCTTTATAAACCTTATAAAATAACAACTTAATCCTTATAAATCTAATAAATTTAAACAAAAAGAGAAATAACTTCGCAGTTCTGTGGACATTTTCAGTCTTAATTCTCAACAAATAAAATAAGAAATGAAAAGTTAAAAAAAAAGTCCCAAAACTCACGTGTTATCAGTGGAAACATTAGTCTTCTCAGACGACGATGTCTTTTCATAAAGAGTCGTTGACCGACGTGGAATAAGTCCACCAGCTGGACCAACCGTTCTGTTTACATTTGATGCTGCATCATATTTCGTTATGGTTGCACGTGGCTTGACTGGCGACGTTGCTGATGTAGCTAAAAGATTTTCCGTTAAAACTTCAATGTTTTTTTTTCAAACAATTATTTTGAATATGTCAGGGTTTACAAAAATAAGAGACAACAAACAAGCGTGTGTAAGGATGTCAAGTCACAGGATTGCGACACAAAAAAGGAGAAGAAAAAGGTTTTATATTAAAATTTAACTTTCTTTTGTGTGGACATGGAATGGATAGCGTGATTATGTGATTCTGACTTTATGAAGGAACTAAGAATTAAGGTAGGAACTCACATGACTCTGTGGTGGTTTTGGGTTGTGCTGATACTGGCCGTTGATTTTGTGTCGCTAAGCGTGTTGTATTCTCTTTGATCGTCGCCGCATCGATTGTATTTTGTCTTTTGAAGTTACTGCTACTGCAATGGTAAATTTAAGTATGTTATTTAAGGATTTGGGGAGGTATAGATAAATACTAACATTGTTGATCGTTCCGGTGCTGCTGATGATGTAGCATTTGATGCTGTTGTGGCTGTATTTGTGCCATTTGCAGCGTTACTTGTAGTTGGAACTGCATTTCCTGTTCCTAATAATTTATGGAATGATTCAATTAGTGATTATGGAGTCAGAGGTAAGAAGAGGAGACGTCTAGTTATGAAGGCAATTAGAATTCTGGATGCTACCCCAAAATATCCCCATCCTGACCCTAAATTCCTTCCAACCTTTTATAAATTGGACGTCTTAAGTGAGCAGCCTCAATAATGTTCTCTTAGAATCAATAAGTAGCGTACAGGATGTCAAGCTATGCTTAATAAAAATCCAGAACCTTTAAGCTACTTAGCAACTTATCAAGCAAAACTCACATTAATCGTGTACAGCAACTATTGAGTTGCATTGGAGAATTTCCTCAAACTCCACGACAACCCCTAAATTGACCCTTAAAAATCATTATATAACCCCAATACTCACTCAATGTCTCACCTCCAGACGACGCACGTCGCGATGGATTAGTGCTTGTTGCTGAAATACTGCGATGTACGCGACGATGTGTTGGCGATTGCACTTGACTATTTGCACCTGGTGGTACAGCCTCGCCCGTCAAATTACGTAATGAAAGAGATGAACCTGATCTGGAACCGTCAGATTCCGGCTAAAATTTAAAAATAATTGATTAGAAATTTTCGATCAAATTTAGATGATTTTTTGACGCAATTTAGTATGATAATGACTCAAACCTAGTGCCTACTTACATCTGTATTTTTACGACTAATTAGTAAATAAGTTGCATGCACATCATCGTATCGTGTTTGTGATAATGACGCTTCTATGTCCTCTCGTTTATATCCCAACGCCACTAAGCATTCTACAATAATTAAAAGAGAGATTAAAAAAAACTTTGAGTTGATTGTTGTGGACAATTGGAACAAAAATGTGAATTAACGAAAACAAGAAAAATTGAAAGAAAATATTTTTGTGAAAATTAAAGGAATAAAAGTTTAAAATGTGTTAAAAATATTGTCTGCTTTTGTGAATTTTTTTTAAGTATTTCTGGTGATTATTTTTGGATTTTAAAAATTTTTTGATGTTTTTCAAATTTTTTTAAAGTTTTTATTTTATTAAAATCACAAATGTTAAAGCAAAAAGGCAATTTATTAAGAAGTAAGTTTTTGAAAATTTAACATTTTTTCCACAAAATTCAAACATTGCAAATCTTTGCAACTTCAATCAGGGGCGTAGCCAGGAGAGTCTAGTCCCATTAAAAAAATTTGAGTTAAGCTCTTGTTTCTAGCTGACTTAAATCAATGCATAAATGAGTTGTTGTGCAATTTATTTCATCAATTTCTCGCATTTTTATCTATGCTCATGAAATAACTAGAAATGTGTAGCTGCTATGAGTGGAATTAAATGAATGAAGCAAGTGTGATCTAGCAATGTTGCAAAAAAATATCAACAAGTTGTAAAACCAAATTAAACTTTTAGAATAAAGCGCATTTTTTGAACGGTAAATATACAAAAATCTAAGCAAAAAAAGGACTGGTCATAAATGAATTCCATCAAAAATCGAGATTTTCAGTCCCTCTCTTTCTTTGTTTAAACTGATTTAAGATCCTTTTAACCTCCTTCCAACTCCCCACGCCCTGAATTTCGTACGTTATAACTGAACTACCACAAATTGAAATTTCTCATTTTTAATAGAGAATAGACACAGGTTTAAACTCCATTTATTTCTAAAAACTCAACTTCATATAACTCTAATCCACCCCAAAATGACTTCTTCTCCAAACCAAATCTCAATCCACTCACATCCTTAGCTAACAAAGCAAATAAAACTGCAATTTAGTGTCTCTAAATTACACAGATTTCCATTCATGTGTGAAACTAGTTCATGGCAATTTTTTTTCTCAACTTTACGAGAGAATGCAAGAAAAAAAAACGAATTGACTCGAAGCAGTAAGCCATTCATGTCAGCAACAGCAGCAGGTAGTTAAATGACATTGCAATAATGGCAAATAAATAAAATAAAAGCAATATGAAGAATGTTCGTGGATTGTCGATGAGTTGGTTGTTGGCATGAAAAAGGGGTTTAAGGATTAGTCAAGGTTGCAAAACTGATTAAAAGGTCTAAGAAGTTAAATTCCATTCTCTTGATAAAGGGTTTGCCTACAAAAATTGCTCCCAAGCTAGATAAAGTGCCTATCTATGTTAATCTAGACTCCCCTTGGCTCCTTTTGGATCTTTTTAGCTTTCTTTGGCACTCCTAAAACTTCCAATAATCCCTCTCGATACATGAAGCTCACCCTTCTGCCCTTCAGCTTCTCATCTTCTTTATTGTCTCTTATAACTCTTGTGACACAACAATGACATCACAAAAGCCCAAATCCTCCTTAGTCATTTGATTACATTCACTAAAGTTCATTATAAAAATGAATATTAAATACTAATTACACTGAAACGTATCGTTTTTGTTACTGAATGAGTCATTTAATGATTTTTAATTTAACAGTCATGAGATAATAAGCAGAGCTATGTTTTCATGCATTGATGAGCTTTTGAGATAATTGCTTGCAATTTGTGAGATCATTTGTGGATTGTTTGGTGATTTTTCTGAGTTTTTCGATACTCGAATGTTATTATGTGAGCTATGAGGTCTAATGTGGCTAAGGTATGTGCTAGGGCAGGGGTGTCAGCTATGCATTTTGGAAAACTAGAAAGCTATGGCATTAGAAGAGGTTTTAAGCACAGTTCTAGAGGTAATTCAATTAAAAAGCTTCTAAAGTCAGTCTTTAAATTTATTATCAACTTCCAGTGACTTGATCTAGGTCAATCCAACCAATAGAAACTAAGTCCGGCCACCCAACCTCAGCAACACCCTTCCCATCCTCAATAATCATTGAAGCAAATCAAAAACCTGCACAAAAAAAACTCAAACAATCAAGAAAATTGCCTTGCAATTTGCTCAACAATTGATGCTGTTGCACTTGATTAGCATGCAAAATACTTTCAATTCCCCAACATCCCATAGCCAATCAAGCAAGCACCTCCAGCGACACAACAGCTGATTTTTTTTTTCTCAATCAAAAAAGAGCTTGCAAAATTGCACACAATTAGGGATTGTGGATGTGTAAGTGCTGACTAATATTTGCACAATAATTTGTCTCAACTTAAACATGCCTCCGATGTGAGATCACGACACAAATGTACAATGAGTTAATAATAATGTGTCTTGAAATTGTTTTACTAATGGATTTTAAATTGAATCCAATTTGCAACTCTGTGAGAAGGTAATGTGGAGAAAATTAATTTTTATTTATGAATGTTTCGCTCTCTTTTTGGTGTCTTATGGGCTGGAAAGTTTAATTTTGAAGTGGGTTGATTCAGTGTTGTGGGTTTTCTGGGGTTAATGAACTCTGATTGGGGATTCTGGAGCTTTATTTTGGTTTCTAAACTCAAATAGAATCGATCTTCATCTCGAGATCAAAATGGATCACAAAAAGACCCTGGTTGAGTACTAAAGTACCGAATTGAGTTTTAAAGAGCCTAGTTCAGTACTAAATACCCTAGTTAAGTACTAAATGCTCTAGTTCAGTACTAAAGACTTTAGCTGAGTTTTAAATTACCTATTTGAGGACTTTAGACCTAAGTTGAGTTCTAAAAGACCCTAGTTGAGTACTAAAGACTTAACTGAGTTCTAAATTACTTAGTTGAGTACTAAAGACCCAAGCTGAGTTCTAAAAGACCATAGTTGAGTACTAAAGACCCGAATTGAGTACCGAGGGGCCTAGTTTAGTACAAAAGACCCTTGTTCAGAATTAAAGACTTAAGCTGAGTTCTAAATTACTTAGTTGAGTACTAAAGACCCAAGCTGAGTTCTAAAAGACCCTAGTTGAGTACTAAAGACCCTAGCTGACTACTGAAGAGCCTAGTTGAGTACTAAAAACCCTAGTTGAACCAAACTTGATGCAAAAATAATCAAAAACTAAACAATTCAGAAAACATTGTCAAAAATTATTAAAAATAAATAAATAAATTCACAAAAGCACACAATATAAATAATTTCAATATAATAAAAATAGTAATAAAGTTGCAATAAGGAATAAAATGTGTTAAAATAATTTGAATAAAAATATGAAGCGAAATCAAGTTTGATTATTTTTGTATAATAAATATTGGATATTTATACAATAATCACAACAACAACAACATTACATTATTACAATCACTTTCTCGTCTCTGGTTTTCTTGTACATTCCTAAAAGTCAGTTTGAGCTTTCAATTTTGTTTTGGTCTTAATTTTGATATATTTTAATTTTGTTCAATTTAAAATGATTTGGATTAAATATCTATTCAGTATTAATTTGTAAAACTTTTTATAAAAATTAAGAAATTAAATTTGTTTATTTTTTCCAAACTTAAAATATTTAATTTAATTGGAAATTTAAAAAAATTAATTTCTAAAACCAAAAAGTTTTTTTTGAATTATTTTAAACATTTAATTTATTTTCTGTCTATTAATTGAGTTTTTAAAATTCTAGTTTTCAAGAATCTAATACGTTTCTATTTAATTTAAAGAATCTAAACAAAAATCATTTAGAGTCTAATCTAATATCAGCTCATGAAGAATGTTTCACATATTTTAATAGTCCTAGATGACTAAACACTAGTTTTTATACTAATCCAGTGGTGGACAACCTATTTATTGCGACGGTACACCTATGTGGTAAACCATGACCAAAATTGCATATGGAATACGATTCTTGGTATTTATCGCTGCACAATAGTGTTCCGCGACACATGGATTGACCATCACTTTACTAATCTACTAATTCATAATCAATGACTCAAATTGTCAAACACTAATCAGACAGTTAAGTATTCTCTAATCGATACTATATAAAAAATGACTTTTAAGATATTATTTTACTACACAAAACTAATTGTTTGAGTGACAAATTGCGTAAAAATGGTGAAAAATTCGTCGTGGAATTCAGCTTGGTGTTGGTTTTGGTGTCATTTTCACATTAGCTTTAATAACGTTTAGTTTTGTTGAATAACGTTTAGTTTTGTACTTTTTATTGATTCTGAAAAGCTTTACCATATTTTTCACTATTTTTAAACTAAATGTCACTCTGGTTAACTTTAAAAGATTTCTAATTAGTTGTAATTTTTGTCACAGTGTTCAGTGATCTAGGATTATGTATGTTGTGAACAGATATCTAGTAAGTTGAAGATAATTAACAATAAACACCGATTGTTTAACATTTATCAATTGAACGACGATTTAAATGTCGACTGTTTAAAAGTGGCTTAGCGAAGGTATTGAGAGTCATGGCACCGACCGCTCCTGCTCCTTCTGCTTCGCCACTACTGTTGATTTGATGCAGATCAAGAAGTTGAGTCTCAGATTCTCCAATTTGACTCAAAGTGAACTCTGTCAACAGCGTGGACTTCGATTTTTAATTCATTGTCTTGCCAAAAAATGGTTTAATTTTTGAAAAATTGTTTAAAATTTGCATCAATGTCATTAAACTCTTGACAATCGGCTATGGAAGAACCAAAAAGTTTTAATGTCATTTTGGACTCATTTCTACTCATTTTTTGATAATTTAATTTGAAATTTGAATTTTATTTAAACATCAAGTCGCTCTTGACATTCCAATTTATTAAAAAAACTAAACTTTGACATTTTTGATATGCGAAAAAAAAGTATTTTTAAATTTCAGTTGTCATGACATTTTCATGTTGTTTTGTGCTGTAATATAAATTTTGAATGATATCCAAAAATATTTACGACATGCAAGGGAAAAAAATAGATTTTTTATGTAAAAAAATATTCTAAAACTATTTTATGAAAATTCTTATCGAATTTTAAAATGTTTTTATGTACAAAAATTTTTTTGTTGTTTTACTTATCATGATTCAAGAATGCATTCGAATTTAAATGAATTTTTAAGGTAACATACTTAGTAAGTTGGGATAAAGTCTGAAAATAGTTTTTTTTATATCCAAAACATGCACAAAATACATCGAAAAATTTTCTACACAAAATAAGATTTTTTAAATAAATTTTACGACATAAAAATACGTCAAAAAATAAGAAATTAAGGAACAAAAAATGACAATTTTTGAAATTAAAAATAAAGTTGAGAATTTTGAATTTTTCAGGTTGAGTTTTTTCACCAATTTTTTACACTTTTTAATGTCGCGAGATTTAAAAATTTTCTGGTTTGATTGAAAATTGTGTGGATAAATGTGGTGTTGACAGGCATGATCCTATGAATATTCTTGAAAAATATTCAATAAAACTCTACGGCAGTGGTTGCAAACCTTTTTTGAGCTGCGGCGCATTTTGGTGATTAAGTGTTACTGAAACCGTACACCACATGCGGTTCATGAAATTTCCTGAATTTTTCTTCAGCACACTGGTGTATTGTGGCACAAAGGTTGGCTATCACTGCTCTAAGGCCTTCTAAGACACTCAATAGTGCCTTAAGGCACCTTATAAGCACCTCAAGTCACCCTTAGGTAACCTAGACAACCCTTAATTACTCTTAAACACCTTAAAGTACACCAATACACTTAAAAGTCAATCAAGAGCTTTCAAAAATATCCAAAGGTGCCTTAAGGTATTCAAAGATACACTTTAGCTCCCTAGGATGTTCTATAATAGCTAAGAGCACCTTTAGGTACCCAAAAATACTCTACTATTATCCAATTATGTCATTCAGTGCCATGCGACACCTTAGAACATCATCTCAGTTTTCTAAACTCTCCAAATTCATCCACACAGCTTCATCAAACCTTTCAGAAAACTCCCAATCAAAATTAAGAACAAAAAAAACTTATTTTTTTTATCATTAAACTCATGTTAAAAAAAAGGAAGAATTATTTTTCAAATAAAATAAATTAAAAAAATATACTTTTTTTCATTCTGAGAAATTTTAAAGTTTTGTATTAATGAATGTTGTTGTTGTACAGTACCCGTCTTACCTATCCTTTTCTGATCATTGAGATCAGGCTGTGGCTCTATATATGGCTTCAGCTCATCATCTTCATAGCCCATGTTCATCCATTTATCCTGTGGAGTAGGAAGAGATTATTAAAGATTTTTTTGAGGTTATGTTATGGAATTTGGAGGTTAGGTTTTGAATTTTTGAGGTTAGGTTTAAAAATTTTTTGAGGTTAAGTTCAGAATTTTTGAGGTTATGTTATCGAATTTTGAGGTTAGGTCTAGAGATTTTTTGAGGTTAGGTTCAGAATTTTTGAGGTTATGTTCACAACATTTGGGGTTACGTTCAGAATTTTTGAGGTTATGTTTACAACATTTGAGGTTAATTTCAGAATTATTGAGCTTAAACTTCTCAACGTTAAGGTTAAGTTAATAAGCATAAGATAAAGCCCAACTCACCTTCATAATTTGCTCTAAGCTCGCTCGCTTTGCCGGATTGAGTACGAGGAATTTCCTTAATAAATTTTCGCAGTCGGTGGATATGTAAAATGGTATACGATACTTGCCACGTAACACACGTTCACGCAATTCACGTAACGTTGTACCATCAAATGGAAGCGATCCACTTACTAGTGTGTACAGAATAACGCCAAGCGACCATACTAAAATATAAATTTTAATTAATAAATTGTCAGTATTTTGAGGTTTGGATGCCTTACCATCAACTTCAGGACCATCATATTTCCTACCCTGGAACAATTCAGGTGCTGCATATGGAGGGCTTCCACAGAATGTGTCCAGCTTATTGCCGGGTGTAAATTCATTACTAAAGCCGAAATCGGCAATTTTTATATTCATTTCTGAGTCAAGCAGTAGATTCTCTGCCTTTAAATCACTGAAATTGGAATTAAAATTAGTAATACTCAAGAAAGTGAGGAACAACTTCACATACCGATGAATAATGCGTTTCTGATGCAAATACTGAACGGCTGAGACAATTTGTCTGAATTTAGCGCGCGCCTCTTTCTCCTTCATGCGACCATGCATAACGAGATAGTCAAAGACTTCGCCACCGGATGCGTACTCCATCACAAGGTACAAAGTCTTGTCCGTTTGAATCACTTGAAAAAGCTTTACTATGTTGGGATGATCGAGCATCTTCATAATGCGAACCTGAATTAAGACAAGATTCGTTCTTAAATATCCAGAAAAATAATTTATTAAACCCAAAACTCACCTCCCGGAAGAGCTTTTGCAAACTGGTGGGATTAAGTTGTGTCTTGTCAATAATTTTAATTGCAACTTCTTTACCAGTCGGCACGTGCTTTGCGAGTTTCACCTTGGCAAAATTACCCTTTCCAATTGTCTTGAGCAGTCGATATTTGCCAATTTGTTCCTCAGCTGGACGCCATCTTGTGTGATTTGCACCGCCTGACTGCTGTTCCTCACCGGGACGCCAACGATTGTGACTGTTTGTGACACGCATCTGCATGTTTGGTGAACCCTAGAGATGAATGAGATAATAATGTTATTAGAACTTTGAGTATATGGTAAGTTTTGGATAGTTTTAGATTCTTCAAACCCAAATTGATGGATAGTCCCCAAATTTTGTAGATTATTGACGCTATTGAATGTCATTCTGCGGTGATTTGGATGAGATTAGTCGATAGCTAGCGGTTTTTAGTGTGATTTACATAGTTTTACTTTGAAGTATGCAAGTGGATGCTTAGGTACATAATATAAATCCTGTAAAGTACTCAATTTTGGTCAAAGGGTATGAATTGTAGGAGTAGAGTCTAGGATCCTTGATTTTATAGTAAAAGAAACCAAACTTAGGCAAGAGAAGGCTCTTGTTGAGCTATAAAGTACTCTATGTAGACCTACAAGGTAATTCATGACAATCTGTAGGTACTTAATATATACCAACGGCTAGAATACCTCAATTGACCATAGTATGCCTTATAATGACCATTGTGATGCCTTATAAAGAGTACTGTGACTCCTTGGAGCATCCCATGTTGACTTTAGAGAGTCATACCGACCATATGGGGCCATTCACTTATTACGTAACGCTTTTAGGGGGAGGGGGGGGGTCTAAGATTTTGTTACGGTTCAAACAAGGAAATTTTTTTTTCATACAAATTTTGTTACGAGGGGGGGGGGGGGTCTAAGAAGTCATTTTTTCGCGTTACGTAATAAGTGAACAGCCCCTATGCAGACCATACTTTCATACAGAGAACATTTGATGCTAAGAAGCCATAGAGTAACTATGTAAACCATCCTTCTTTATCAAAACATAGCAACTGCACTTGCATTTACAAGTTTCAGCTTCAATCTTCAAATAACACATCAAATCCATGCCTAAACTCATTCCATCAAATCATGCACACCTTCCTAGCATCCTAACACCCATCAACACATTCACAGTCATCACATTTTTCAGACATTCTCATCCACTTGACCCTTTTCCTTGACATTCTGCACTCGGTTGCTTATGCGATCATTTTCGCATCAATTAGTCATTAAATCTTGACTTTTCATCCATTAAAAATAAATAAATAAAAATATGAAAATATTGCTCATCATTTATACAAATAAGATTAATCATATGAACATGTGTAGCATGTAGCTATGTAGCTAGCCTAGCTGTGTATTTGTCTGCAATAAGACACAAGAAGAGGGAAGTGAAATGATAAAAAAAATAACAGTCGGCGGATGATTAACTTCCATGTAGATAAAAAGATTTTTTTTTGTTTGTATATTTTAAGGTGTAGTTTTTGAGGAAGTTGGTGTTGGATATAAAAAGTATTTTGGTGGTGTTGGGATTGTTTTGGTTGTGGATGGAGGTTCTATCATGTAGATTGAGACGATATTGGTTCATGATTTGGGAGAAGTTTAACTTATTGAGGTTGCTTGAGGTCCTAAGGCAAAGAGTTAAGGCAAGCAGTGTGTCACAGTCCTAGTGAGTTCATAAGACTGCAGCTACTACTTATAGAGAGCTTGTCCTGTAGTCCAGTGTGGTGTCAACTGAAATGTTCAAGCTCAGCTTCATAAGTATTATTGTAAATTGAGTTTTAAACTTCAAATCTACAAAATTCAACTGAATAGGTTTCATCCAAAAACACATGCTGCACGCGTGATTTTCACATTAATTTCTTTTTTATCGAATTTTTTCCTCTAATTTTCTTGAATAAATTTTTCTACTTTTTCTACCATTTTGTCTAAAAATATTCATCGAAAGCGCTCATGAAATCCCCTAAGATTATCCAAATTTATCAAGGAAGTTGAACGTCAAGTCAAGATAATAATCAGCGTCAGATAAAAGATTATCCAGGTTGCAGAATAAAGTAAGTTGCTGATAAGAAGAAATGCGTGCATGATGATGTGATTTAGGTTGAGTTTTTTTTTGCAAGGTTTGTTTTTGAATAAAAATCTGATTAAACCTTCTTTGTAGCTTTAAGATCAATTTAGAAGATTTAAGAACAGTGGTGGGCAACCTTTTTTGTGCCAAGGCATACCTTGTTGGTAAACCATGACTGAAACGACGCGGCATACAATTTTGAGGTTACACTAGTGTGCCGTGGCACATAGGTTGATCATCGGAGACAAATTTGACCTCTTAGGCTATTTAAAACCCTCTTTTGACTCATTTTTAAGCTTCGTAGACACACCTAGACCCACATCTACGCCCATTTCTCATATAAACCTTTCATAATTGATCAATTTGTTCATCATAAATGCACAGACAATGTAATAAAGATGTTTAGGTAGTTGACTGATAATTTATCTAAACCAATACAAACGCATTCTCAATTAATTGAACCTCAACATAGACAAAGATTTCATGTGAAGCCTGCAAAATCAACGCACACAGTCAAAAAAGTTTTCTTATCATTAAACACACTGATGTGATATAAATGTATAAATAGTGCAAATATGTGTTTTTAATGTTGATAAAGTTATTGTATGAGAGATAAAATAATGTCACTGGATGTTAACATTATTTACATAAACTTGAAGTGACTTTTTTGATTTGAGAATTATTCGTTTTTTTTCTGAGAATTTTTTGGGGTTTTTTTATAATTTTGGGATTGTAAGCTTAGAAAATCAATTGAAAATATTAGAAAAATGACAAAACATTAGCTAGGGAGCTTTAGAGATCCTAAAAGAGCCTGCGACAACCTTTGAAGAGCCTCAGTCAAGCTCCTTAAGGCTCAGACAACTTCTTCAATCTTAAAACAGCTTAAATGAGTCTTAAAAAGCCACAGGCAATTTAAAGGAAGCATAAAATAGCCATAAAAAACCTCAGAGTTCCTAAGAGTGCCTCAGAGAGCTTCAGATAACCTTAGGCAACCTCAAAAAACTACTAAGACCGGTACTGAGATTTAGAAATCCTATGCAAACCTTTAGGAAGCTCAGAGAGCTCTTGGGAAACTTAAGAAGCTACAGGAAGTTACAGGAAGCATCAGAAAGCTTCAATAAATTTCAAAATATCTTAGAGAACTTCAGCGATCTCCAAAAAGCCTTATTGAGTCGTACAGATACCATTTTAAGGCCTAGAGAGCTTAAATGGTTGAATGAAAATTATCCGGACTGTCAAGCTTCTTAACTCAATAATTCCATCAGTGAAAAATATCATTGCACCCAACATTAAGTGCATTTTTCAAGTGTATTAAATCACTTCGAATATGATTTTTAATAATAGAAAAAAAAAAGTATATATAAACTTCACAGTTTTCCACATGTCAACCTTGTTGCTTATCTTATCAGTCTTTTTTTTTTCATTTTGCCAAACTCTTCTGCTTCAATCTTATCAGACGTTAAACACAACAAACGTCACCTGATCTCATCACAGATAGGGGGAATGTAAGCGAAGTTGGAGGAATGAAAATATAATTTGTGTTGCTGTTGAGCTAGTCAGGGTTTGAGAATTAGTTTTAAGTACTCATTGTAGTTTAAAGATAAAAGCTTGTAACGAGTTTAGGATTAGATGTGGAAAATATGACCTGCGTTAATGTTGTGTCTCGGAATAATGCCGTGTTTAAGGTAAGTGTTGTGTCTTGGGTAAAATTGAGTCTTGGCTTAAAGATGGGTCTTAGATTTATATAGCACATTAGAGCAAGTTTGTGTCTTGGGTTAATATCGTGTCTCTGATTAATGTTGTGTCTCGGATTTGTGTTTTGTCTTTGTTTAATGATGTGTCTTAGATTAATATTGTGTCTTGGGTTAATGTGGTGTCTTAGTTTGATGTTGTGCCTTGAGATGGTGTCGTGTCTTTGATTTGTGTTGTAACTTTGGTTAACAAAGATTAATTTTCTATATTATTTCCAAGTTGAATTTGGCGTCTCGGATTTTACAACTTGTTTCAAATTTCAGCCAAATAATTTATAAGCTAGTCGACGGAATCCCCTATTCAATTCTAACTCCCATGTCCAATTTTTTACCTTAGCCTTCTTCGCCGGATCCTCAACTTCCGTTTTCTTTCCTCCTACATTTTTAAATAAATTCCTCAACATTTCATGCTGCTTAGTATCACTAGCTGTCCGTGCAGCTGGTCTAGGCATTTTAAGCTTTTTCGTATCACTATTTTGACTCGGCACACCTTGAACTGAACTTCTAGTCGTCCCACCACGCTGAAATTGAATTCCACTGTCACCTTCATCGTCCGTATCATGCTGGTTTGTTGCCAAATCACTGATTCCCGTATTTAGCAGTGACTCCATTTCATCATATCGAGTCTTACGCACTGGAATGATTGGAATTTGTGGCTGTTGCTCTTGCTCAATCGCGTGCACTTTCTGATTAAACTCAATTGCATTGATATGCTTTTGAATGGCTAGCAATGCACTTTGTGAGTCGTCATCATTATTTGATGTGGTTTTTGGCACATGCGAGACAACGCGCGGTGAAATTGTGGTTGTTGCTGTCGGTGACGATATCGGTGATGTATGAACAGTCGTTGGACGTACGTCATTGCTGTTTGGTGCTACAAAATCTCGTTTTGTGATTAAAAGTCGCTTAATAATTGACGAGACATCCTCTGATGTTGTTGTTGGGGGCGGCACTGGCTTCGCTGATGGAAGACGGGATGTAAATAGTGATTTTGTGATGATTGGTGATTTTGGGGTTGATGTAGAGAGAGGAATGGAAGGTATGACTGGTGGTTGTGGTGCTGGTGCTTTTTTTGGTCGTCGGATTGAGCGACGAAGCTGCTCGGTTCGGTCAAATTCACTCATTTTTGTGTAATTTTTTTAATTTAATTTGTCGCTGTGATTATATTGATGAATTAATTCTTAATTTTTATTGTCGAATGGCTTTAATTTTTCGTTTATTTTGAATAATTTTTTAGGTTATGTTTTTTATTCCGAAGCTTCTGATGAGTCTTATGTTTTTTTAAAAATCTATGTTTAGAGGTTCTTTTATACGATGATTTTTTAAGGATTTTTAAGTTTTTTCCTCTTCATCGTTGAGTTTTAATCGAGTTCACTTTAAATTTATTTTTTTAAAAATTCACTAAAATTATTGAATTATTTATCAGTAAAATACACAGTATCTAATGTTATAACATGCAAGATTAATGATGACGTCATGAATTATTCACTGTTTTTTTAGGATTGTGACGTTATTTCTGCATTTGAATTCAATTAAGTCAACAATGTTATCTGTTTTGTGACGTCTGCAAATTTATAACTTTTTCAATTTCACGAAATATTTTCAGAATTTTTCACACAGGTTGTTAATTTATAAACTTTGTTGAATAGAAAAATTCTAGAAGTTTAAAAATTTATTTTTTTTAAATATTTAATTTGAATCAAAATGAAAACTTAATATTTTTAACTTTCAACTTTTCATAAGGTTCAATTTTTTTAAGTTTCAATTTTTTTTGAACTTTCATTTTTTTATATTTTCAATTTTTTTAAATTTTCATTTATTTAAATTTTCAATATTTTCAAATTTTCATCTTTTTAAATTTTCAATTTTTTTAAATTTTCAATTTTTTAAATTTTCAATTTTTCTCAAATTTTAATTTTTCTTAAATTTTCAATTTTTTAAACCTTCTTTTAAACTTTCAATTTTTTAATTTTTAATATATTTAAATTGTGAATTATTTATTGGTTTTTATTTTAAATTTTTCAACTTTTATCTTTCATTCAATTTTTTAAAGTCTTTTAACTTTTTTTCTTATTTTTTTCCAATATCTTTAATATTTTAAAATGCTTTTCTGTAATTTTCACAAACTTTCAATCAATAAAGTCCAAACTTAGCATTCGACAACATAAAAAATCCAATAATTTCCACCACTTAAGCTAAGATTCAATTCCTAAAGTCTTTAAGTTCCACAACTATAATTTTTCTCAAAATCTTAAAAATCAAACTACAACTCATAGTCAGTCTATCCAATTATTATCAACCTTTAAAAATGCACTCGATTCGATAAAAAAAATAAAAAATTCGAGTCTTTAAAAAAAGAAAAAGTTGTGCGACACAATCGCTCCGTTTATAGCACTAGCCAAAGATATCATATAAAAACGACTAAAATTGCACTAAATGGACTGAGTTAATTTACGGGTTTCTATCTCACGTACGAGTCTCTCTAAAATTGCTAATTTGGAACTTGCTAATCTTATTGGCTTCAATTATGGACCACTTGTTAAAATAAATTGGAAAAAATGACTAGTTTTGGGAGTTTGTCGGTGTTTTTTGAGGTTGTGAGGCGTGTGGAGGTGATTTTGAGTGGATTAAGTGGGGAAAATGTCGAGGATTTTGAGGTTATAGCGGTGATTTTCTAGGTTATGTTGACAATTATTGATCAATTTGGCTTAAATTTGGTCACTTTTGATTGAAATTCATCAAAATTTCATAAAAAATTGCACTTTTAACCCCAAAAAAATAAAAATTTTACGCTAAATCTCGTCACTGCATCAAATTCACCATAACAAGCTTATCCATTGCTTAGTCATTTAATAAATATGTTCCAATTTAACGCAACTTAATTTTGCACATCGCGACGCTACGAAATTGCACTCGATACTGATAAGGTAAATTTTTTAGTGTCGATTGAGTAAAAAAGTAATGAGAAATAAGTTTTATTTTTGTTGTGTGAGGTAAAAAAAATAATAACACAACTTTAATAAATATTTAACAATAATAATATTGGTGGGTTTATTGATAAGAATGAAGGCTAATTTATCGATGGCTTTTTTGTTCACACTTTTAATTGAATTGGAAATCTGAAGCAAGATAAAAAAAAATGTTTTTTATTCTCTTTTAAAATTTAAGAGATTTTTGTAGGGTTGTGTTGGTTTTTGTGGGCATTTTGAAAAAGCTTTTTTGGTGGTCTGAGGTTTAGAAAAATTTTGAAATTTAAAAAAACTTAATAAAAATTTAAAATAATTTCAACAAATATTAAAAGCAATTTTGAAAAGTTTAAAACAATTTTGAAAAATTTAAAACAATTTTGAAAAGTTTAAAACAACTTTTAAAAGTTTTAAACAACTTTTAAAAGTTTAAAACAGTTTTTAAAAAATTAAAAATAATTTTAAAAATTTTAAAGTAATTTTATAAAAGCAAAAATTTAAAACTATTTTTAACAAGTTAAAAATAATTTTAAAAAATTGAAAATAAATTGAAAAAGTTGAAAATGATCTTAAAAAGCTAAAAATAATTTTAAGAATGAAAAAAAGTTTTAGAATTTTGAAAATAATTTTCAAAAGTTAAAAATACTTTTTAAATATTGAAAATAATTTTTAAACATCGAAAATACTTTTTAAATATTGAAAATAATTTTCTACTTTTTAAAATAATTTTAAAAAATTAAAAAAAAAATTAAAATTAAAATAAGAAAAGCTGAACCCGATCACTATAAAATCTTATTGAATTTATACTTTTTAAACACAATTTATTTCACTTCTTTTTATTTTTGGTTTTCTAATTAATTAATTTTGTTCATTTTATTTCAAAACAAACTTTCATCTCCGCACATTGTCTTTTTAATCAGTTTAATAAATTCAACATTTACTTTCAATGCTAATTCAATTAAAACTATCATTAATTTATTCACAAAATCTAAAAAAGTGTGGAAAAGAAATTAAAAATAAAATTTCATTATCAATTCATTATTGAACTTCTCCATCACCGGCTTATTTATAAACAGTCAACGTTTATTATTTTTTATTGCAAATAACATTTTAACAAGAAGCTTAAAAGACGTCAAGGACGAACAACGACAATGAGACGAGGACAAATTTGTTGTTGAATGAACTTTTGTTTTGATTTTTTGACCTTATTAAGACGAGAACAAGAATATCTTGTCGGTGTGCTGATATTAATCTGTATTTCGTGGAATTGAGGAGACAGAGAAACAAGATAATTGTTTGTAAACAAGATTTTTGAGCTTTTTAGCTCTTGGAGTTCGTTGTGATACTAATAATGATACATCCTGACCCATAAGCATTGTCTAATGTAGCTAATACTTGATTTGAGGTACAATAAGCCTCAAATCAAATAACAAATGCTGAAAAATTGTGAAATTTCAATATTCAATGTTAAATAAAACGATAATGATCAAATTTGTATTTTTTCATTCATTCTCAACATATTCAGTCACTCTTTTCACTCAAATATTAATAATTCAACTCAATGTCATCATACCAAATCAAATTTTAAACAAAAAAAATTTTTGAGGTTAGAATTTTTTAACCTCAATATTTTGACATCAAACTTTTTGCTGTATATCCTTGCCACTTTTTTCTGGCATTTAAATTTGAAACAAATTTAATAATATTGAATTGTTAATGAGTTTTGATGAAAAAACTTTTCGAGGTGGTGGATTTTTTTCAGTATTTTATATTTTGCATAAATTTGGATGGTTTTATGTTTTGCTCTATACTTAGATGCACATATAAATTCAGTCCATACTATTTTGATAATATTCAGGTTTTAATTCTTTAAAATATAGTCAAAATAATTGATTTGTGTTAAATTTAACACAAAGAAGGACCAACAAGCCTTAATATAATACAGTTGACCATTATCTCAAGTAAATCATACATCCTGTAATGCAATACAACTCATTTTAGCCAACATAACCTCAAAAATCACTCCACACACTCAATTTCTTCTTCATTTCCATCCACAAATCTTAAAACTACCTCCACGCCACACGCGCCGCTAATTATAAATTTCACAGAGCACAAAAATCTCTCGAATTTCAATACTTTCGTGTCACTACAAAAACAAAATTTATCGTCGCTGCTTAAAAATAAACAGCGTTTGAGTAAAAATACTTTGTTTTCATCTTGCAGCCTCTCGCAATTGAAGAGTAAGAAATTTCAGCAAGATGTAAAGAGATCCAAAAAATAAATAAGAAGAAAGCAAGTCAACAATAAGAAAAAGTTGAGTAAGGCCAACGAGCGTGTAGTGATTCACTTGTCATCACTTTGTTTACTGTGTGACATTAAAAATAGCTCTGCGGTCATCATTGATGCAAAGAAAAGTAAGAAGCAGGAAGAAAAAGAGGAACAAAGGAATCGAGCATGTAAAAAGGTCAAATGTAGACAAATTGACATTTTCAGCTTGTTGTGATATCAAAAGAATCGACTGATGTCGCTAAAAAGTGAAAGGTGAGTTTACGATAAGCAAGAATGCTGGCTCGTTTAATGACTACAATAAATTTTTATGTAAAGAGCAGTTGGTGGCATTTAAAATTGTTTGTAGAAAGGTAAAAAAAGATGGTAAAAAGTTGGAAGAAGAAAGTGAGTGTGTCGTTAAAATTTATGTTTTGTTTTAGAAACTTAACAATTTTATTGGATGTTAAGCTCAATAAGTCAATGATGCAGCATACTAGCAAGATAGTCAGCCAGCCAACCAAACAAGATTGTCTTAAGAAACTAGCTTTAGCAATCCAAAGGGCAAGTTTACATGTCAACCAGACAAACGATTACACTTTGAGCTAGTCAAATAACAAGTTATCCGACCAACCAGGCAATCGACAGCCAACATTACACATAACCTCACTTAATTATTCCAGTCACAACAGAATCCACACAACAAAAATCTCAGCTTTTTCACTTCTTCATCTTCAAACTTTTCTAATCTAAGCTCAAAAAATTCACCCAATAAAAACTCATTCAAACCATTCGTTGAGCAGCAAAAGCTCTTTCCATTCTGATAAGCACAAAGTTTTAAACATTTTTCAGTTCCTTAATTGAAATTCGTAAATCAACATCATCGCCCACGTAGCTTGGTAGGCAGCATAAAGTCATTAATTTGTGCCGATATGGTTCAGATGAGATGAAAATAGAAGAAAGGAGGAAGTAATGAGGAAGTTGAGTGACCTTTGGGATGATAGAAGTTAAAATGTTGTGGATGCTGATGTAAAATTGAGGATTTTTGAGGTTAAGGTTGATTTTGAGGATCCTGGCAGTCAAAATATCACATGCTGAATTGTAGACACAGCCAATTGATTTACTAACCCAACCAACTTACATCATATTAAATTATTCATAAGTCTGTCCTTTATGCCTCTCATTTATTTCTGGAAATTTTTATAACTTAGCTAAAATCGATAAGGAAGCTTCAATGTTTATAATGAATAATTCATTTAATAGACTTTGTTTTGTAACGTAGATGAAGAAAAATTGTTATTTTCTAATCCAATTTAGGGATTAAGATTTGTTATCGAAGAGGTTTGGTTGGAATTTTTGATTAGAATTGTTTACTGTGTAGCGTGATGTTTCACAAGTTTTTTTATAGTTTTTAAAAATATTTATAAAGTGCTCAAGCTGAACTTCAAAGTGTAAACTTAAGTTTAGGTTTAAATATAAACCTCAATTCAGATTCAAATGTAAACTTCAGCTGAGCATCTGATGTAAACCTCAACTAAGTGTCGAATGTAAACCTCAGCTGAGCATCAAATATAAATCTTAATTCAGAGTCGAATGTAAACTTCAGCTGAGCATCAAATGTAAATTTCAACTGAGGGTCCAATGTAAACTTCAGCTGAGCATCAAATGTAAACTTTAACTGAGTATCAAATATAAACTTCAGCTGAAGATCTAATGTAAACCTTAATTCAGAGTCGAATGTTAACTTCAGCTGAGCATCTAATGTAAACCTCAACTGAGTGTCGAATGTAAATCTTAATTCAGAGTCGAATGTGAACTTCAGCTGAGCATCTAATGTAAACCTCAACTGAGTGTCGAATGTAAATCTCAATTCAGATTCGAATGTAAACTTCAGCTGAGCATCTAATGTAAACCTCAACTTAGTGTCGAATGTAAACTTCAGCTGAGCATCAAATATAAATCTTAATTCAGATTCGAATGTAAACTTCAGCTGAGCATCAAATGTAAACCTCAACTTAGTGTCGAATGTAAACTCAACTGAGCATCAAATGTAAATCTTAATTCAGAGTCGAATGTAAACCTCAGCAGAGCTTCAAATGTAAACTCCAGCTGAGGGTTGAATGTAAACTTCAGCTGAGCATCTAATGTAAACCTCAACTGAGTGTCGAATGTAAACCTCAATTCAGATTCGAATGTAAACTTCAGCTGAGCATCTGATGTAAACCTCAACTAAGTGTCGAATGTAAACCTCAGCTGAGCATCAAATGTAAATCTTAATTCAGAGTCGAATGTAAACTTCAGCTGAACATCAAATGTAAATTTCAACTGAGGGTCCAATGTAAACTTCAGCTGAGTATCAAATATAAACTTCAGCTGAAGATCTAATGTAAACCTTAATTCAGAGTCGAATGTAAACTTCAGCTGAGCATCAAAAGTAAACTTTTACTGAATATCGAATGTAAACCTCAATTGAGCATCAATTGTAAACCTCAACTGAAAGTCGAATGTAAACTTCAGCTGAGCATCAAATGTAAACCTTAATTGAGTGTCGAATGTAAACTTCAGCTGAGCATCAAATATAAATCTTAATTCAGATTCGAATGTAAAATTCAGCTGAGCATCAAATGTAAACCTTAATTGAGTGTCGAATGTAAACTCAACTGAGCATCAAATGTAAATTTCAGCTGAGCATTCAAATGTAAACCTCAACAAATGTCGAATGTAAACTTCAGCTGAGCTTCAAATGTAAACTTTAACTGAGAGTCGAATGTAAACTTAGGCTGAGCGTCAATCGTAACCCAATCCCAATGAAATTTAATTTAAAAAATTCTTTTACCTTCGCTTTCTCTTTGTCCTTTTTCTGTAATATCGAAGTCTTATCCCTCTTACTAACTGCCACAACAGGTAATCCACCATCGATCATGGTCACCATAACTTTTCTATTTTTTTCCTTTTCCTCAGGAACCACAACAGCCTTTGGTGCTGGCATTGATTGTCTTATTTTAGTTGGTGGAATTGGATCTGGTTTAAAATTAACTTCTGGTCGACTTCCAGCACCATCGGGCACCATAAGATGTCGGAAGCTACCATTCGAGCATTTTACGTAACAGCCATCGTTGCTTTTATGTTTCGTATCACTTGGCAATTTAAGGAACGTTCCATTCTCAACTTTATAATAACAAACATTTGTCTTATGATATGTCGGTGCCAATTCATCCTCTGTGTCTCCCTTCTTCTTCTTCTTCTCCTTCTTTGCATTCTTTGGTGTCGTTGGAGTCGATGACACATCGCCATTTGATGCATTGATCTTATTTCTTATCACAACTGTTTCATCATCTTGTGGGGTATTCGGAGGCATGCTTATACTATTGTGGTTACTACTGCTATTAATATTATTATTATTTTCTACATTCTCACTATTATTCTCTATATTTTGGGCTGGCGATGTTGGATAAATTGCTGAATTACGCTTAAGAATTCGCTTTGAGGCGCGCTTTGTTGATACCAATGGGGAGATTGTCGTTGATTTTGCTTTCGATGCCGTTGATCCCATCTTGGTGGGGTGGAATTTATAATTATTATTTTAGGTTATGTTGGTTTTTTTGGGGTGCTTATTGTCAATAAAAAGTTGGATTTTTGTAGATTTTTTTCGAGGATTTTTTGCAAAATTCTTGCAAATTTGACAATTTTTTGCTTAAATTTTTAAATTTTTGATAGAATTTCGAGTCAAAATTCGAGTTTTGGTTCTTAATGCAGCACTTTGAGCTCAAAACTTGTTAAATTGCAATTTTAATATTTTTTTTGTTCAACAAAATCTCAAAACTAGTTGCAAATTGAGGATTTGAAATGAGAATTTAAATGTTAAGTGTCACTTTTTGAGTCACTAAAGTTTGAAATTTGTTAAAACGTTCTTGATAATTTCACTAAAATTTCACTTTCGAGCTCCATTGCTTAAGTTGAATTTGAGATTTTGGATGATTTTTCTTTGCAATTTTAAAATGTTTTTTTTTTCAATATTAATTTTTCAAGAAATTTTGAGTTTTTTTCTTGATTTTGAAGTTTTCAATTTTTTTCTTAATTTTTTATGCAATTTTGAATTTTTTCTTGATTTTTACAAGATTTTTAAGTTTTTATTTTTTTCTTAATTTTTGCACGTTTTTGAAATTTTTCAATTTAATTTTTATTTTATTTTTATTTTATTTTTAACCATTTTTTATTTTCAAAATTATTTCAATTTTAAAACTTTTAAAACTTTTTGCAATATTTCTCAATTTTCACCTTTCAATTTGAACAATTTCATTCATTTTTGATTCGATTTTTTGATTATTTTTTGATTTTATTTGAATTTTTTAATTAAAATATTCAGTTTTGGTCAACTTTTGGTTCACTTGTTTTGAGAATTTTTTAACAAAATTTTAACATTGTGTTTTTATAAAATTTACACATTTTTTGAACAGATTTAAATAATCTTTCAGAAATATTTTTCTATAGTTTTTTAATCAAATTTTGAAATATTTTTTTAAATATTTTTTCAATCAAATTTTTAAATATTTTTCAACTAAATTTTCAAATACTTTTTAATCAAAATTTGATTTTTTTTTCTTCTGATTTTTTTATGAATTTTTTCTTCTTTGATTTTAATTATCACAATTGAATTATTTTTAACATTTCATGACACTTTTTGATTGTGAAGATTTTTTTGATGGCACTCGGTTGATTTGTTCTGTAAAAAATAATTGAAAATAATTTTTAATTTTGTAATTTTTTAAGCATTTTTTGGCATTTCTCATTAACTTCCATGTGAGTCTGTAGTTTGATGTCAAATATTGATCTAATTTGAATATTTATTTCAAAATAATGTTTTAAAACCTTTTAATTGAGTGTTTTTCGAACTTTTTGAGTCACAAAACCACTTATTTATTGCTAAACTTGATGCATTTTTTAAATTTCCCGTCTTTCTCAAAGTTCTGGCTGAAAAAGATTCAATCACAGAGTCTGAGTCATCTTAATTGTTCAATTTTAATATAAATTCATTAAATTTGATTCTTAAATCAGCTGCAGAATGTCAATGATTTAGAACAAGGGGACAACAACATGATGTAGAAAAATTGTTTCAAAGTTTCCATCAATTTCCTGCCATTTTCAATTCAAAACTTTGATTTAAAATTCAATAGAAAACTAATTTGCAGTTGTGGGAAATTAATGAGAATTTCTATCAATTTTATTCCTCCCCATGTTGTGTTCCCCTTTCAGATTTACAACTCAAAAACCTCAATTGACGTCATTTTTGTGTTTTTCTTTCCAATTTTTTTCATAATAATTTTTAAATTCAATATCGCATGTTTTAAATTCGTCAATATTTATTTATTTATTTTAAAAATACAAAGCCAAGAATCTGAGCTTCATTTCTACATCATTAGAATTTGATACGATTCTTGTGCTGTTGTGGCTGTTGTATTTAATACACATGACAATGGAGAATGTTATCAGTTACATGGCGAAGGGTTAAGCTCAAAGACAACCTTGAATCATGTTAATTTGAAGCAATACAAATCAGGAGATAAGCTACGACTTAATGATTATAGAATTGGGACTCAACTGGATCTTAAGAACCAATCAATGCAATTAAACCCAAAGATTCCGGCAGAAAAGTGTGAAATCTACAGCTGCAAGCACTGCAATTCTAGCTAAGGATAGAATCTAAACTTACAATCTCGATGCTCAGCAGAATCAAAAAAGAGCAACTAAAGGATCGAAACCGCAATCTTCTCCATCAAATGCTTAGCATCACAACAATATTAAGTAAATATGCCAACTCCTCATGTGATATTAATCAAACTTATAAAAATAAATTCAGTCACATTTCACACATAATATTGAATTAGTTGTGTCCACAGCGCGGATTCTAAAAATACATTTCCATTGAAACGCAATTTATAGCTTTTGAATAAAAAGAAGCAAAAACTTGTGAATAAAAATAGAGAAAAAAAAATGTCCAACAAAGAAGTCATAAACGTAAAAAGGTGATGACAAATAAACAAGAAGCTTGGAGCTTTTTCTGACGACAAATTCCTTTTTGTTGTGAATTTTTTATGTTTTCCATTGCAAAACAACTTTTTTCTTGCAAGCGGACGACATGAAAAATTTGTTTGCGAGGTGTTGTGGAGGTTGGAAATTATGGACAGTTTGGGGTGTGCTTTTGAGGTTTTTAAAGAATTTTGTGGCTTTATCTTAAAGTTGTGCTTGAATATTACAAGCTGGAATCATCCTAAGCGGTTCAATGTAGATTCTATGGGTGTACTAAGTCGCTCTGGAGTGACTAAACGTCTTAGAGACATGGAGGTGGACTAGAAGCTTAGCAAAGTCATTTAACAATTTTTTTATGAATTATTTAAACAGTCCTGAGTTAAAGCCTTGGTTAGAACATTCTTACTATGCCTCTTAGGTCCTCAAAGAGCGTTATCTTGATGAGCAATCGAGGATTCCTTAAATTCCAACTAGGATTTTCAATCCCGGAATTAAAATGAACTGAATCTCGGGCTTAAAAACCCTAATTTCAACCATAAAATCCTAGAAAATTCTCCAAAACACCAAACCATCCACATCACATCCTGCACATTACCGTCAATTTCCCCCATTCAAGCAACTAATTGCAGCTGTCAGCGGCAGGAAGCTTTTAAGGCTTCATTTATAATAACGAGTGACGCAAGTAAGTGCAAAATAAACATAAACGAAGGCTTTAATGGAATTACAAGGTTTGTTACATGGGAAAAATTATTATTAATTTTCGTGTGACATGCTTCTTTGAGTTCTTGTGGAATGTGTAGATTTGAGGCTCCTATGGAAGAACTTGAATCAAATTATGAATTAATTTAACAGGAAGTAGCCAACAAAATCAATTAAAAGCGATCAAATTGACCAAAAGTCAATTAATTCTCAAATCAATCCAATCTCGAACTTCAAAACCTAACCCAACTCCCTATTGCAGTGGTGTCGAACCTTTTTTTGTGCCACGGCACACCTTGGTGATATCCGAACTCGACATACCGTTCGTGGGATTTTTTAAACTTTTTCGCGGAACTCTAGTGTGCCACAGTACAAAGGTTGATCACCACTGCCCTATTGACATTTGACTATCATTTAACTACCTGATCTACTTTAATTCACATCCAATCAAGCTCAACTGAAGCTCAAGTAAGTCAATCAATCACCTGACTCGCATTTAATCGTACCTCAACCATATCAACTTAATAATTACAGCTCATTACATCTCGATATGATTATTTTTCTCAACATTTTAACAAGAAAGAGGCCTACAATTAAGCAGATGACTTGCTAATTTTCATAAACTAGGCATGTCGAATTGGACATTATATGATATAAAATTTATACAAAATATGACGTGATTTAATTTATTTTTTTACGTAAGAAAAATGAGATGAAATTGAAGTTATTGTCGAGCTGTGAGTTCCGTATGTGCGGTTATGTAGATTGAGGTTGGAGATTGGATGTTTTTGGGGTGTGGCTGGAGGGAGTTGTGTACTAGAATTGGTTCCTGCAGTAAAACGTGGGTCTTTTATGATAAATGGGGTAAAAAAGTTGCATAAAATTGACAACAGAGTAGTTTAAGGTTGACAAAGAGTCAGATTTAATGAAATTCTAATCAGTGGCGGGCATGAAGTCAGCATGAGGCTGGAATTGAGCTGAATTACATTGTAGCTGACTTCTAGACAGGCTTAGTGACCTGATTATACTGTTTTGTAACGTTTATCCTTAAATGTGAGAGTATTTGGTTCAGCTATGAGTGTATTGATGCTAGATGGGAGTATGTTGTGGCTGGATGAGAGTACATTGAGGCAAGAAGGGGTATTACAACTCTTGAGACTCTATGTGGAAGCCAAAAAGGGTTTAATGGGCTTGAGAGTAGATGATGAACCCACAGAGGTCATCCTGAGACTCAGAATGAATGCACCGTACCTAGATTGGTACCATCAAAGCTGTAAGGAGGATATCAAGTTAATAAAATTCCAAATTACAATATCCATGCAGCAACTCCTTGAAATTAAGAATCTTTATGACTACAACCTTGAAATTCTTTCGAAAACATCCACAATTCCCAATTACTTAAACTAATTCACCCCTTCCCTCAACTCCATCTACATCAGCTGACTCCCCAACCTTGAACATTTTAAATTAATTGCTAAATTAAATTATACTCGAAGCAATTCTATACTTGTGATACGATTGAGTGAGCAGTCTTTAATTTAATTTGACTCGTTTCTGCTAGTTTTGTCTCGTTTTTCTTCTTTGTGATCCCAAACTTGATTGTTTGCTTCAATTCTTATGAATTTAGAAGGATGGGCTTTGATTATTAAGATAGCGGCACGTTAGGATAGGAACTGATGTAGAATTGAACAGTTTATTGTCAAATGAAGTACCAAACATTCTAGTTCCTCAAGAAAAGTTCATAAATAACCCATTGACATAATTCCACAAACTCTTCATGTCATAACCACAAATACCCTTCAGCACAGTCACATCCCACGCCAACCA